TGGGGGGGGGGGGGTAATAGCACTTAAGTATGGGGAGGTAATGCTCTTAAGCACAACAACGAAGTAAATAGAACTGGGGGACAGGGTGCCCCAGGATGCTGCCTTATATACATAAGGAAAAACCCCCCAGGGACTGGTAATAGACCTCTGGTACTGTCACGACTTAGGGTCAAGCGACAGGGGAAACACAAACCAAAAGACGCTGGGGGCGTTCGACTGAGTCTTTACCGAAGCGATGGTGAGCAGAGCTCAAATCTAAGGCTAGGGACAAGTGAATATATTAGTGAGGTAAGAAAGAATACAAGAAAGGGCTTACTGACCTAGGGACAAGAGGTCGAAACTGAGGTCCCCAGGGCAGCAGAGGCCGGCTTATATACATGGGGAGATAAGGGTAGGCTGTGCGCACTGGTCCGTGCACAGCTGGTCCGTGTACAGCATGCTGACACGGCCCCGGGGGCCAGTGAGTCAGAGAGGCTGTGTCAGCGGAGCCCGAGCTGTGCCGTGCACTGCTGTCCTATCTAATCTGATCATACAGTAGATAATGACACATCTATATCGGGCATATAGTACAGAGGTCACGGGTTCGAGCCCGTGAAAAGGAAAAATTAAAAAACGGCTAGACGCCGTGCCAACTCGTGACATTACCCCCCCCCCCTCAACGGCGCATGACCTCATGCGAGGCGCCCTTGTCCATCTCCCACCCGGAGCGGCAGCGTGCTTCAGTCAGCGGCGAGGGCATTGGCTGGAAGTTGAGACCACCAAAGGTAGCAGCATTGAGGCGGCGAGGGGCGTTTGGATTCTTCCGGTGGAAGTCAGCTCTGAGGGCCGGCGCATTCGCAACATTGCGCGCCAGTTCCCATGACGTGTGCGAGTCGTCATAACCCTTCCACTTGATGAGGTACTGCAGCTGACACCAGAAGATCCTCGAATCTTTGATCCACTCAACCTCATACTCCTCGTCACCCTCAACTTCGATCGCAGGCGGCTTCTCCGGCTCCCGGCCCGGGATCTCGCTATGTGTGTACTTGCTAAGCAAGGAGACATGGAACACTGGGTGTACCGGCACCGATTTTGGTAGGACTAATTCGTAATCCAAGTCTCCAAGCTTTCACCGCACGGCATAAGGTCCGAGACGCTTGGGACTGAGCTTCTTGCTCAGCTGTTTCAGTTTAAGGTTCTGAGCGTCAAGCCAAACCTTGTCCCCCGGTGCGAAGACCGGTGCCTTTTGCACGTGCTTGTTGTAGTACACCTTCATGCGCTCGGCCGACAGCTTGAGCACAGAGCGCGTGTCATCGCAAATCTCCTTCAGGATCTTGAGCCGATCAGCGGCTGCAGGCATCGCAGACATCGGATTGATCCGAACCTGGATCTCAGGATTGTACCCTTGATGCAGGAAGAATGGGGAGTGTCCGGTTGCGGAGTGAACTCGGTTGTTCAGTGCAAACTCCGCGAGCAGCAACTGCTTTGCCCAATCATCCTGCCTGTGGCTGGTGAACGCACGCAGGTACTGCTCGATCTCCTGATTCCAGCACTCAGTTTGGCCGTCCGTCTGAGGGTGGAACGCTGTGGACAGTGCCGGCTCGATCCCTAGTCCCTTGTACACTGCATGAAGATATTTCGAAGCAAACTGGGGACCTCGGTCTGATATGACCTTGGCCGGGGCCCCATGATGCTTGAACACATCGCGGATGTACAGGTCTGCCGCACCTTCTGCCATCAGGGTCTCATGACAGGCTGAGAAGTGGACCTGCTTTGTGAAGCGGTCAGCGGTAACCAGGATTGAGTTGAATCCATCAGACTTTGGCAAGCTGGCGATCATATCCATGGTGATGATCTGTCACGGGCGCTTGGGGATCTCGTTCGGCTTCAGCGGACCCTGGGGTTTGGCTGGGAATGTCTTGGTATGGTTGCACACGTCGCAGGTGCTTATATACTCATTGACGAATTTGGACATTCCTGGCCACCAGTAGTTCTGTGACACAAGCTCGAGGATTTTGGCACGACCACCATGACCGGCGATCGGCGAGTCGTGGTGGATCTTGACTATATCCTGCCGGAGCTCCGCGTTCTTTGGGACATATACGCACCCGCGGAACAGCAGAAGCCCTTGCTCGGCATGTCATTCCTCAAAACCCCTTTGCAGCCGGGATGGCCCGAGGTCCTGCACCTTTTCAAGTGCCTCGGCCACCTCCCGATCCTTCTCCGAACATTCCCTGATGCGTTTCAGAAGCGATTGATCGGCCGTCACCGAGGCATGACTGCGCCTGGCGGAGGCAATGCGGAAGTGCTCCAGCTTGAGAACCACCTGATCGGTATTATCGTCCTCATCGCCGACCTGATGGTCTGATCGGTGTGACAGGGCATCAGTCTTTCCATTCGACGTTCCAGCCTTGTGTGTGATGCGGAAGTCGAAGCGAGCCAGAAATAGCGACCATCGCACTTGACAACGCATGAGGTGCTGAGATGTCCGCCAGTATGCGAGGTTCTTATGATCGGTTACAATCTCAAACTGATTGGGTAACCCCTCGAGATAGTGACGCCAATCGTCTAGTGCCTCAATGATCGCGAGCATCTCCTTATTGTAGATCTCATAGTTATGCTGGGCAGGGTCCATAGCGTGAGATTGGAAGGTGATAGGGTGCCATTTGCCGTCGTCCTGCTTCTGCATCAACACACCGCCAGTGGTGTACCCCGAGGCGTCGACTTCGATACGCGTTTCCCGGTTAGGGTCGTATAGCGCCAAGACTGGAGTTGTCGCAAAGAGCCGCTTGAGCTCATCGAAGGCATGCTGCTCCTCTTCATCCCAATGCCATGGGTCATTCCCTGTGAGTCGGTTGTGTGGTTGCGAGATCTTAGCGAAGTCCTTAATGAAGTGGCGGTAAAAGTTGGAGAACCCCCGGAACTTCTGAACATCTTTTTTGTTCCGGGGTACTGGCCACTCATTGATTCCTTTTAGCTTCGCGGGATCCATCGCTACCTCATCGCCACCAAACACATAGCCAACGTAGTCGACCTTGGGAACATCCCATTCGCACTTCTCAGGCTTCAGGAATAGATCGTTGTCCTGAAGGTGGCAAAGAACCTCGCGTGTGACCTTTTCATGCTCCTCTTTGTTAGTGGAGAAGATGAGTATGTCATCCAGGTACACGAGGATCTTGCCGCTGACGATAAGATCATGGAAGATCTCATTCATCATGGCCTGGAAGGTCGCAGGGGAATTGGTGAGGCCAAAGAACATCACCAGGGGTTCATACAGTCCCCAGTTAGTCACGAAGGCGGCTTTCCATTCATCACCGGCTTTGATCCGGACATTGTTATAGCCCCATCTGACATCGAACTTGGTGAAGAGCGTGGCGCCATGGAGCTTGTCTACCATTTCGGCGATCAGCAGCAGCAGGTAACGATTCTTGACGGTGATTGCGTTCAACCAGCGGTAGTCCTGTATGGGTCGAAGCATCCCTTCCTTCTTTTTGATGAAGAAGAAAGGGGACGAGATGGGCGATTTCGACTCCCATATGTAGCCTTTTGCCAGCTGCTCCTTGAGGAACTTGTCAAGTTCCTTCTGCTCGTTGTTCGACAGAGGGTACACCTTTGAATGGAATGTCGAATAGCCGGGCACGAGTTCGATTGTGTGATCGTACGGCTGCCTTTCGGGTAGCTGTTCCGAAGCTTTCTTTGAGAAAACCTTCAGAAACTCGTGGTATTGCTTGGGCACCGACTCTTCGGCGGTCTTGACGACCTTCTTTTTGATCTCCTCTTCAGCAAACAGCTGGGAGTATGTATGTCCTGCCGCGACAAACAGCTGAGGAGCGCCGGGAAGCATAATGCCTTGCTCCCAGGCTTCGATCAAGTCGGCCTCATCCCACTCTACTTCCGCCGGAGTTTCTTTGGGTTTGAAGTCCGGGAGTACCTTACTCCGGCAAGCACCTATAACCGACCGTCTGGACTTTGGCGAACGCCTGCACGCTGTGGGCCTGACCCCCGTATCATGCGCAGTCGCTGCTTGCTCCATCCGGCCAGCCCTCCTGGCACTGCACGTTTCAGGGCATCGTGACAATTTGAGGGAGCCTTTCTCCCAATCGATCTCGGGGTTGTGCTCACGTAGCCAATCCAACCCAACGATCACATCTTCCGGACCGATGTCTGTGATCATAAACACCGTCTTCTCGATGTGTTCTCCTATGTGCATCTGTAGCACTGCTACTTCCGAGATGCTTCCGTTTTTGTTCAGGGTGCCGTCGATATTGTATAGTGGAATCAGCTCCTTTAATTTCCGCGCCTGCATCTTATTTTCTAGAATGAATCGCTTATTGATAAACTTCGTGGTGGCTCCGCTATCCATCATAGCGATTATGTCCTTGTGCCGTCTTTTCCCTTGGAGTTGAACTGGAATGTGAAAATGCTGGGACCCCTGGTCCAACTCATACACCATTGCAGTCGACAATACATCGTACTTATTACAGGATATATGCGGCCCGACGCGTGCGGCACGAAGCGTGGACCGGATCAAAAACCCTCCTCCTTCATCGCCCAATAATGCTCGAGCTCCTCACGCATCGACTTCACCTGTGCCATTAAGTCCGCCAGCTCCGATTGCTTGGATTTCGCTGAAGCGGCACTTATACTTGCCGAGGGTGATGTCATGACGGGGGCACTTGTCGCAGCCTGGGTGGATCCCGAGGCAACCGTAGCCCGCGCATCGGCGTGTTTTGTGTAAGGCTTGTCCTTACAATTGGGGCACTCAAAATGTCGGTACCCTTGCTTCCCGCAGCCAAAGCAAGTGCCAGGGAAGTTGCCTTTTCCGACGGCCGCATTGATGCTGGCCGAAGCTGCGTGTGTCGAGGGTGCACCACCACATGCCCCTCCGCGTCCTCAACCTCGTGACGAGAAGAAGTTGTTCAACTCGGGCTGTCAGGCCCGGCTGACGTCGAGGATTTGCTCGACCTTGGTGGCGCGCTTGTCAGCGGCTTGCCACGTGGCAAAGGTCTCGAGCTCAATCTTTCGATAGACATGGGAAGGGATGCCGCTCAGGTACTTGTCACGTAGCTCCAGGTCCCCATACCCGGAACGGTCCGCCGGACCCTTGAACAGCGCGGAAAATTCCGCGGCGGTGCGCTTTTCGCACACAGTTTTGTCAGCGCAGAGCTTGGTGAGCTCCACCTGTGCCGCGGCGGCGGCGTCGAGATTCCCGAAGCGGGCCTTGAATGCCGTGAGAAAGGCTGCTTCGTCAGTGAACGGAGTCGTGGCTTCCTGAGTCCCAATCTGGACAGCGGCGAGCTGGGCGAAGATGGGAGTGGCCCAGGCTTGTGTGTCACCATCGAGGAGGCTGAGGGCAACTTGGACCTTCAACTCGACAGTGAAGAGGGTCGTATTGACTGCCCAGTAGATGAGCAACTGGGAGACGAAGCGGTTGCACTCGACAACTGTTTTGCCGTCATATCGGAGAGGAAGGAGAAGCTTCAGCATCTCCTTGTTAGGAGGGGGCGCTGGCGATGACATTACCGGCGACGAGGGGGACGGAGGACTGCCCGCGGCCGAAGGCGACTGTTGTGACTATCCGCCGGGCAAACTTCTCGTGGAACGAGTGCTTGTGCAGCCTCGCGGCGGCGACGGCGGTGGAGGCGACGGAGGAAGCCCGGGGGCGGGGTTACGTAAGACAGGGACTGAAGGCGAGGCGGTGACCGCTGACGATGAGCCGGTCCAAGAATGCGGTGGAGTGTCGCTGGGCTCGGTCTTGGGAGGCCTTTCCAACCGCGGCCCCAAGGAGGACTGGGGGATCGCTTGAGGGGTCGCTGGAGGCTGTGCGACTGCCTCAGTTCTTCGAGGAAGATTGGGGTCTCCTTGTGTTTGACCTGTACTGGTGACAGGTTGGGGGATGCGGGTGCCTGGAGAGGCGGGATGGGATGCAATGGGAGTGACATGGTGGGAGACAGATCGGGACGCGTACTTGAGATCTGGCCCAAGGGGGTGCTAGACTCATTGGATGGGTACAAAGCGTCCGCCTTCAACGGTAATGGAGCACGGGGTTCGATTGGGGTACGGCTGTCGGTCACAGTCGAAGAAGAGGGAGCCGGGATCGTCAAAGCGTGCGACGTCAACGTGATCTTCAGCGTCGAATGCGTGCTCAAGTCCCATGTAGTTGAAGGCTTTTTCAGCCACGATGGATGGAGGGAGGAAGGAGAGGTGCGCGTACTACGAAAGGCCGTTGTAGACTAGCTTACACCTACGGCATCCGAGGTGACACTAGGGTTTGCAATTCACGTGGGGCCCAGTACTGCTTTTGGCTAGTATGCAGCAGGAACCTAGACCACGCGTCCGTGAGGACAAGTACCGCCCACTGAAGTGCAGGTACTGAAAAGTTCGTTCCCTTAGTGGTGGCAATGTATAGTACGCTTATCTATGTATAGTAGGGTACAGTAGGGTGCGCACCACCCAACCTATAGGAAGTGAATGTGAGTTTGTAGGAGTCCCGAGGAACGCCGGCAGTGGTGAGGAGTTTCGACCTAATGTCGCGACTTAGGGTCAAGCGACAGGGGAAACACAAACCAAAAGACGCTGGGGGCGTTCGACTGAGTCTTTACCGAAGCGATGGTGAGCAGAGCTCAAATCTAAGGCTAGGGACAAGTGAATATATTAGTGAGGTAAGAAAGAATACAAGAAAGGGCTTACTGACCTAGGGACAAGAGGTCGAAACTGAGGTCCCCAGGGCAGCAGAGGCCGGCTTATATACATGGGGAGATAAGGGTAGGCTGTGTGCACTGGTCCGTGCACAGCTGGTCCGTGCACAGCATGCTGACGCGGCCCCGGGGGCCAGTGAGTCAGAGAGGCTGTGTCAGCGGAGCCCGAGCTGTGCCGTGCACTGCTGTCCTATCTAATCTGATCATACAGTAGATAATGACACATCTATATCGGGCATATAGTACAGAGGTCACGGGTTCAAGCCCGTGAAAAGGAAAAATTTAAAAAAACGGCTAGACGCCGTGCCAACTCGTGACAGGTACCTAGCTGGGTAAGGATTACTAAGTATCATGTGCCCTATGGTGCGATATGGTGTTATCGATGATGTTATAGTCTGGCCCTGCCCTGCCCTGGGCCTAGGGTCCAGAATTGACTGACCTATGGCTTAGTGCCTGAGCCTAGCTCCTACCTATAATGTCAGAATGATGTTATGGTCCAGACAGAGTCTGGTTTCTATCTAGAAAAGGTCCAGCATCACACATGACGGATGCTTATGCAAACCCCACCTTGTTGGAACAAGGGTGCAACGGCACAGGGTGCATTTGTTCACAGGCGTAGCGATGCCCGTAAGGAACAATCGTATACTGTACATACATCGTGTGGGGTTGTTATATACTATGATAGGGGCCTCCAGCCCCTGGCTACTTGCGCGCCCGAGCTTTTGAGCTCATTCCTGACTGCGCGGGTCAGCACATTTCAACACACCTGACATGACAACCATTGTCTGAATAGGTATGCTTTGTTATTTTGCCATAGATAGTGAATTTGGCCATGCAACCCAATCACCAGGCTGGCGAGCAGTTACAAAACTTATAAGGATTCTATTTGTATCTATAACTAGACATTCTCACCCGGCTTTTGCTGATATAACAGATAAGCCCAGATCAAATCATATTTTAATTTGTCTTATACCCAGACCCATTGTATCTGCACCCCATCACTGCAAACAAGGGTCTGGGGCATTTTGATAGAGCCATCCCCCCTTACGTTTAGTGCTCATGTAGCACTCATGTAGCACTCATGTAATGGTCACAGAATTGATACTGCATCAGTCCATCAATGTAACAAGTCAATCTAATCCAATATCAGGATCTGGTGGGTTTGTTATTATTTACATTGGGGATTGGTTTCATGGTGATTCACGCCCTTTAATGGGCAGCTAATACTTATTCTATGCTTCCATGTATGCACTCCTGTAGACTTTTCTAAAATATTAGGATCGGATACAGTATATACCGGGGCCGGGGTGAGTGAAGCATTACAGTCAATCAACCCAGCCTATTTGGGTAACTACTCCTAGCAACTTGTGTGTGTGCACTTGCCCTTCTGTGCTTCACTGTTTCCAACTGAACATATGTGGAACATGTGAATGCATACTGTTATAGCCTCAAGACCACACCCCAGATTTAAATGCAGTAAAAGAAAACTGTGTTCATGACTCAGCAACAGCTTGATACACTTGATGGTTGAGTGGTTTGAGGCATATCTTTACACTTGAAGACAATTACAAGAAGTGCAAAATATATACAGCTAGCAAATAATTTTGTTGCACCACGCTCGCAGCACTGAGGGACAGGTGCGTGCACACAAGTTGCTAGGAGTAGTTACCCAAATAGGCTGGGTTGATTGACGCAATGATGCGGTATCAATTCTGTGACCGTTACATGAGCGCTACATGAGCGCTAAACGTAAGAGGGGAGGGCTCTATCAAAATGTCCCAGACCCTCGTTCGCGGTGGTGGGGTGCGGATACGACAGGTCTGGGTACGAGACAAATTTGTATATGAGTGAGTATGTACTGAACTGGGCTCGGAGCGCATGAGCGCCGACTTGCTCAAACGTGAATTCGACTGGGGCTTAGTAGTGTTCACGTCAAGGTGTTTGTTTGCTTCCATCTTATGTGAAGCCGTTCCCTACATGTTGTTCTTCACACTATACGTCCGTCTGGAGTAAGTGTCAACCATAGTGTACAGGTTCTATAATTTATGTATTCTCTCAGACAGTCGAGGCAATTACTGAAACAACAGTAGAATAGCGTGATATCAGTGAAGCCAGCCGTTCGTGAACTATGAGACACATGGACCTGAATTGAGATGAGCAGATGTCAATGTAGCTGTACGGCCCGACGGGACCGTTGCGCAACCAGGCCGCGCAAGAGGATATGTTCCGTCCAAACTTGTGATGCAGCATCTAGGCTGTCTGTGCTTGTAGTATCATGTTCTGGGGTATCATCGAGACGCGGCACCGGGACTCGACGAATTTTCGACATCGAGGATGGTTGCTTATCTGGCGGGGGAAGAGGCTTCGGCATCGCAGCGTTTGCAGGAGAGGAGTGGTGAGATGCAATGTGGGAGTCCGACGCACGGCGCTGGATACTTAGACGGCGCACTGGCTGGTCCCAATCCCGCAACTCCACCGGCTGCAGCCGGGGACAGTGGCACGTCTTCCACAGCGACTTGCAGAGGTAGCAGAACTGGACCGCGCACACGCACGTCATATGATAGCACCCGCTACGCAGCTCGATCATCTGGTCGCACGCAGGGCAGCGCGCCCATCCCTTCTGGCTTGCGAGTTCGAGCACAGCTTTCTGCCCAGAATCGTGCTCGCACCGGTGCCCGCGGCCGGGATGCACAGCGCCCCTGCAGCGGCTGCATGTATGGGTCCCGCAGCCTGGGGATGGACAAGACAACACGGGGGCGAAAGAGTCCTTGCGGCGCGCGCCGAGGAAGCGGCTGCAGGACGGCTTGGCACAGTACACGCGGCATGTAGTGCTGAATTCCACATCCTTCACGGCGAACACGTCTCTCAACGCCGAAGGCATGAATCGGGTGAAGGAGCGGTCAAGGATGCGCTGGTGGCAACAGCTTGGCGGGAAGAGAGACTCGTCGCGCGTGGCGACCTCGACTAGATTGATAAGGCACGGGACGTCGAAGTAGTGGCCGCACGGCACGCGGACCTGGACGCCTTCGATAGGGCATTGGCATATCACGCAGTCGTGGCTCTTCCTGCTGTGGTCGGAGTCAGGGTTACATGCTGTGCAGATGATGCGTCATAGGCCCACTCACAGGAGTTTGGTGACGGCTGTGCGTAGAGATGCAGTGCGAGGCCTCCCGTGTGCGACACGGGACATGGCCCGCCTCAGGATAGCGGGCGAGGCTCTCTTGTCGTTGCGCATTCGTTTCAAGAGCCTATGCAAATCTACGCTTAGAAAGGGCTTGCGATGTGAAGAGAGTGAACTTACCGGGTGTGCGCTGTTGTGGGGCTTAGGACTGACGGCAACTCGACCAGCGAGAAGGAGCTCGCGGACGCATCGGGCAACATGACTTCGATCTGCTGCAGACGATATGGCGGCCGTTTGGGAACGGTGCTGTCCACGCCCGCCTCGTACACGCCTCCGCTTGGCAATCGACGCCGATTTTCATCTCCGGAGACAACGTCCTCCCATGGCTTCCGACCAGCATCCATAGTGACAAAATCAGCGAACATGTCAAAGTCGTCCCCGAAGGTGGGCCAGGGTTCAGTGTCGGTGTCTTCGACTGGCACCGGCGGTAGTGGGCGGTCGATGAGCGCGGCGGAGCGGGCTGCGGGGGTCATGAATGTTCGTAAACGATGAGCACGGGGCGAACGCCGCGGGGCGTGCGGGCCTTATCAATGCTCGCGACACGTGTCTTCATACAACTGCTGCTGAGATCCGGCGAGAGTGCCCTGCAGCTCCCGGCGCAGTGGGTGCGGGATCAGTCCACTGAGCGCGGGACGCTGGACCCACAGGAGCACAGGTCAGCCTAGGCGAGATGAGTGGGTGGCTGAGTGCACAGTGGGGAGGCCGTGCCGTCACTGGTGGGCTGCCGGACGAGTGGCAAGCGTAGGGGAAGCGAAGCGTGAAAGAGAGACGCGATATGGGCGGCTGGATATGTTGGTGTACGTCTCGTGGAGGGAGCGTGTTTCCGGTCCGGCGAGAAGTACGCGTGCTTCGCAATGCCTAAATGCAGATCGATGATGATCCATGCTCTGGATATCCAGTCCGCGTATGCTGGGGCAAACTCTTGCCACTCGGGATGCGAATGTTCTGCACGAATGAAGCGTGTCTGATTCGATGTGTGACCGATCGAGAATCAGTGCATTCCTCCTGACGCACGGCAGGGCAGAATATCCAATCAGGGGCGCATATTAAAAGCACAACGATCTTGAGCGATCGCCTCCCGGCGTTGAGTGGCCAAATTCTCATGGGGACCATGAAGGTCACCATAGACACCCGAAGCGCGCTCGATCATGCTCTCAGATCCGCGAGTGCAGGGATTGGACATGGCGGCTTGGCACGATCTCGATAATCGGATTAGAGTCGTTTAGGCTTTCCTACGGTGCGTCTGTCGTGTACATCAGAGCTTGATACGGACATTTGTGCCACTCAAGCTGGGTCAGCATCGCAGCATGACGCTGGGCTGGTCTGCTCGTGGAAGATTATCACGAAAGGTGTGTTCCTGTGATGATACGCAGTTGTCAAGGAGCGTACGCATGTGTGTAGAAGAACTCACCAAATGTTTCATTGTTGGTCGTATGCCACGATCTCTGAAATTTTGGAAGGTAGGCAGATTTCCCAGAGGCTGGCTTCTGCCAAGTGCTGGCAGAGTGACAATTGCCACCTGCGGCGGAAGATGCTGATTTCAGCTCTCTATTGTGGAAGTAGCAGTAATTCTCGTGATGCCTTCACCTTCGCATTTTACAGCAACAAGGGGCCTAGTTTACCCATATATTGTTGCCCTGAGTACGTGCATGTTAGATGGGCGTTAGTTCACATGGCATTGAGGACAAATCCGTCTCTACCGCTGTCGCTACATATCAACACCCATGTGAGGAAAGAACTTGAGTCCTAGAAACACGACTGGATGGAAGCTAGGCTCGAGGAGGGTTCATTGACAATGTGCGGAAATAGGTTGGGCTAGATTATTATACATGGCTTCGGACACCATCCTGCGCCGTTGCTGGGTTACCTGCATGGAAACCAACGTAAATGTCATAACCAGTATGAACTGCAGAGGAAGATCGGATATGGATTAGAGTACAGTATCAGTGCTCTGGCAATGCTCAGGTAAATTTGAATATCAAGATGTACAGTGGGGCTCCCCCGCACTGCGCAGCAGGCGCTGTACTGCGGAAAATCCGTCATACCAACATCAGGGAGAACGGAAACGAGCCCAGCGCCGAGACGTCACCTACAAACTGCCATCTGTTCCCGCGAAATCAAGCTGTCCTCGCTGTTGTGCCGCAATCGGATGCCAGGATACGATAGAGCTCGAAGACTGTTACCCCACGAAACATCCTTACGCCGGATGTTCTAGACAGATACTCCTGAGGTTCTCTCTCTCTCTCTCTCTCTCTCTCTGTCTCTCTGTCTCTCTGTCTGAAAAGGCCCTCAACAGATCCGAAATGCTTCGATATTAGGGAGAGGTATGGAGGCTGAGAGCAAGCTGGCTGGTCAGCCACCGTGCGCACGCGGAGCGGCAGACTGCCGGCCGTCGCCGCAACATCAAAACCTGGCCCGGCCGCGTCTTGCTCTTGTTCCCCTCGTCGCCCTCGTCCCTCACCACCGTCCTCGCTGCAGCTCGCCTTCCGACATGAAGTTCGCCAGCCCAGCCCTCGCCCTCGCCGCCTTCGTGACCGGCGCGGCCGCTCAGCTCACGATCCTGAGCCCTGGAGGTCCTGACTTGTGGTGGGGTGCGTGTCGTTATCGCCTTGGCCTTCGCCAGCCGTCAACTCACTCAAATGTTTTTACACAGTCGCACAGTCGCAGAACACCGTCATCTGGACATGCGACACCTCGCCCTACAGCACCTTCACTGTCTTGTGCGACGTCTTTCGTCATACCCTCTTCATACGACCCCATCTGACTTGATACCGTCCTCCACACAGGATCGACAACTCTGACCCGAAGATTCTGACCTCCGAGCTTGCCATCATCGCGCAGCAGGAGAATTTCGATTGCTCCGAGACCATCTCGCAGTACCAGGTCACCATGCCTGCTGCGAGCGGTTATACCCTCATCTTCGCTAACCCCTTGAACAACACTGACGTGAGTGTCCCTCAGTGACATCTTCCCTTTTCACGCCGTCTATCGTCGGCGCAACTTACACGATTCTCGCGCAGGTCTACGCCCAAACACAGCCCTTCGAGATCAAGGCCCTCGGTGCGACCTACCCGGCTGCCTCTGCTACACCCACAGGAGGTTCGAGCGCGACCGTCAGCGGTAGCAGCAGTGCAGCGGCTTCTGGCGCGTCTGCATCGTCTACCGCCGCGACCTCTAGCAAGAAGAATGCCGCGGGCCGTGTCGCCGCCCCAGTTGTAGCCCTCGCTGCCCTTGCGGCTGCCGCCGGTATCGCCTTTGCGTGTGGCATCAGCGCGGACGCTACATGATGGACATAAACATGGAATGGCATGGCTCGCGGCCTGCGTAACGCGGGATGTGGGATATGACAGCCTTTGTATGTGATATTGCTTTCGGCTTTCAGGTTTTGATCATCTTCTGCTGCACATGCACCCTCCTCCCCACCTCTACATCCTCGACACTTGGTGTCAAACTCACGTCGCCGCTCTTCACATCTGGGACTTTTCACACGTGCTTCGTTTTCGTTTCTGTTATTTTGGGGGTTGCGTCGCCATACTAGCAGACTCTGTCTGGTGCTCTGTACTTCACACTCATTTCATAATGCGCTCGTTTGACCCGGATAATATGCCTTGATATGACTCTGAGGACGGTCGAGTGTCATTTCTACGAGTGTCGCTGAGATCTGCCACACCCAATTTCCGAACAGATCGGACATCTTCCCTCGCAAACAGGGGCCATCTCAGCTCCGGTATGTGCTTTCTCTCCGTAGTGATCATCTATGGTGCCTCACGTTGACGAAGACGAATGATCGCGGACAATATGCAGCCACCCGCACTCCACGCTCTCGTATACGGGCGCCTCAGTCCACCGCAGCTGTGTTCACGGGGCGTCAACCTATGGACAATCACATCGATTGTGTGCCCGGAATGTACTCCGAGAAGGTGCATGTATGCGCCCCTGTTCTGTACCACATAGCTGTGCAGATATGGGCGGCGTGATGATTAGGTCAATCGCCAGCCACACCGCGAATCACGGAGGCGACAAGCGCGCTGGGTTGAGGGTAAGAATCTAGTGCTGGCAAGACACAGCCACCACATTCAGGTATTCGTTGTATATGGGGCGTATTGCCGAGGTCTTCGCGCATCCGTGTGGCCGACGATCACTGATGCGGAGGCGAGCGTGTGACCTAAATCGTGTGCCGCAGGGAACTCTGGATATCTGGCAGCACGGGTGGTTGGCGTGGCTTCTATTCCTGGTATGGGTGATGGCGGTGCGCCGCGCCCTCAGACTTCACACAGGCGTCGTGTTACGGCTAAGTGTACACATACCGAGGATTGCATAGTGACAGGTCAACCAACCTCATGCCACCGCATGGTTTTGTGCATGCCCGCTCGCGCATTAAGGCAATGGTGTCCGAACGTCGCCACTGCTCAACACGGTTGCTGGTACGATCCATGAACTACGCGATTGGAGAGCTAGACATAATGAGCTCGCCGCTATTATAGACTCGGAGCCAAACAAGTTCAGATCTGTCTCTTCCTGCAGGCTCTTAGAACCAGCCTTCATTGTGACATACTCGCTCCTACATACTAGAGGTCAAGTCAGGGCCTGTTCAGTGGCTAGTACTAGTAGGCAAGCTCGTGCTCACGCTGTGGTAGGGCCAGATGACCCACTGGCGAACTCCGCGGAAAGGCGCAAGGCAGGCGTAGCCTGCCCGAATGGGCATTTTCTGGTTTTTTTTCCTTCTCTTTCTAATCTTGTTCATAGGATACGAAGTATTCCGATTAGCCCTCGAAGACGACTCGTCGCGCTCTACGCGCGAATCAATATCTACTCGCGATCGGACAGAACGACGGCCAGGCACGCGCATCAGGCGTGCGGGGGCATCTGTACGTGATTTCTTTATTCATGTATCCCTTTCCCAGGACGCCCGGAATGATGCTGAGCGCACTAGGACGTAGAGTCGAGCGAGCGATCGCGGCTCCGCTGCTTGTTGGGAGGGCAACGTATTCGTAAATAGAGCCGAGTGCGGTCGACTCTGACTCCCTGAGACATCGCCTGCAGCGCGACGTTGAGCGACGGCGCGCACCTTCTGGCACACGACACCTGATTCGCATCTAATACGCTATGAGGCTAGCACGAGGGGGGGCCCTTTTACTCACGAGTTCGGGCCTGTACTTCCTCACTGGACCTCATCTTACCGCACTTCATCGGGACAGACTCCAGGATCTACACTCGTATCTAAGACTACCTTCAGAAAGGCCGCGGTCTTCCTACCGCACTACACTCTCTATTGTTATCGCTCACGCAGGGGGTCTTATCCTTCTCATCCACCATAATTCGCTCCAAGCGAGGTTCTCCGATCACCCGTCCATTCACTGAGGAACGACTCCACCAGGAGAAAATCGCTACTGCTCACGCGCAAAGCTTGATGACAAATCAAACCCAACATGCTGCGTTGCAGCCAGTATCATGCCGCGTGCCCCAACAGCATCAGGAGGGCTACTCAACTCTTGCTGTTCGTTTGTTCATTTGCGGGATAAGCACCTCTTTGGTAGCAAGCACAGGCAATTCGCTGTCAGCAAGCGATTTCTGGTGCCCTGAGCACAGGCAGACAGATATCCAACATTCAGTCTCAGTTTTTTTCTCACAGAAATAATATTCTAAATAACACAAAAACTGCAAAAGTGCAAGCATCATTGCTATAATTAAGAACGTATGAGGTATAGAGCACCTTTGAGAATAATAACGAGTAAACACATACTAGGCGCAAAGCGCTTTAACGTGCCAGCGACGTAGGTCCAAGAGCTAGTACAGTTGACTGCACCCGGGAGCTCCTGAGTAGCAGCTGCACGTGCCATCACATTGCGCTGCAGAGGTTGAAGGGCAGCACACGCGCGAGGCCGGGGCGGGTGTGCAGCTGCTGCACATGCCATCACATTGCGCTGCGGAGGTTGGCGAGCGACAGACGTGCGAGGCAGAGACGGGCATGCAGCTGCACGTGCCGTCACATTGCGCTGCGGAGGTTGTCGAGCGACAGACGTGGGGGACTGTCGTGCATTGATCAGAAGAAGTAGGACTGATTCGTCCGGATAAGGTGGCGGCCGCAGGTGGGCCCAATAAGGCGGCGGCACCTCGCCACCAACGCCCAGATATGGCGGCGGGTCCTGGCGGTCAAGCCGAGTACATGTGACCGTGCCACAGTCGGGGCAGCACTTGTACTTCATACGGTGCGGGAGCCAGCGCCAGAACGCTCCCCTAACATGCGCGCACAGAAAGAGCCTGCATGACGGGTTCGCGCAGTAGACACGCTTGAGCGTCCCAAGTTCCTTGTCCTTTGCGTGGTAAAGCTCAACGAGCGCGGGGCTCAGGAATTGCTGGACAGACGCGAGGATAATACGCCTCCCACAGCAGCGCAGCGGGACGAGCGACTTGTCCTGCACCGCTGCTTCGAACAGCGCCACGATGCATTCTCTGTGGTAAAAGTCCCCGCAAGGTGCACGGAATTCGTCGCCATAGATGTGATTAGTGCAGATCACACACTTAGGTCCAGTCGCCCTGGTATGGGTATTTATTAGAGATGCACAGACGTACGGGAGACTGAAACTGACCGATGGGTACCCACGGATCCTTGACGCCGCACAGAGAGGCTTTCCGGAGTATTCGTAACGTGAGTGTTGCCGTGACCGTCTATCTGAGAGCCATTGTTGACGGTGTCTTGTGCTCTGTAGCAAGATATTATCGTCCTCGAATAATTCAACGACAGTGGTATTCTTACCTCGGAAAGGCTACATCATCGTCGTCAATTATGCTCAACCTGACGGCAAGAGCACGGGCTTGTTTATACAATCTATGTTTACGTGTATCCGCTGTCGCCACTTCAAATGCGGGCTCGAAGTCGGAAGCGACGTTGCCCTTGTTGACAAGACATAGTTACTTTCTGCTGGGACGGCAAGTGCACCAGAGAGTTAACTCTTACCGATGGTTGAACAGAGCTGGGCGCACGGGCTCGAGTACGAGCGAACATGAAAGGCGAAAGGCGAGAGGCGAGAGGCGAGAGGCGAGAGGCGAGAGGATGCTGCTACTAGCAGCCTTTTATTGATAGTCAAGGTGGCGTTTCGCCACTCTATGCCGAACGTTTCCGTAGGCAGACCAAACCTTACTCATCCGTTGGATACGTCCATTTTCCTACGCAACGCGCACTGGGCGAGATTAATCGTGACGACACAAGAATGTTTGAGTCACAGTCGGTCGCGAGCCTATTACTTGACGCGCGCAGATGAAGTCTTTATCTTCCCACGCCACATACAGTCAAGAGCACTAAGGTTTTTGGGTGTCCATTTCATCACGAGCTCCGCATTGACTCGGCGCCCTCGATCAAGGCTAATGTGAAAATAAGCAGTGCTTTCATGGCTATTAGGGTCAATGCGTCACCAGACAATCTCGATCCTAATCAAAGCCATGGGTCTAGTACGCTTTGAAGCTGCTGCGCGCCACAAGCTCCATCTCTTTGTCACCGCCTTCCCCTTTTCCCGGCTTTTGTCCTCGCTTAGCTCCCCCTCGTGTATATGGACTCGCTGCGGGCATCCGATAGCTCCCCCTCACGTATATATACTCGCCGCGGAGACCTCAGCCGCCTGATGCATCGCTCGCAGCGTTGCTCGTAGCATGGATTCGCGTTTCTCTCCCTCCCACATGGTCGTTTCCAGCCTTCGGTTAGGTCTCTTTTTGTCTCACGAGTTTCTGTGCCTTGTGGTGGCCTAGGTTCGGTTTGAGGCTGTCTCCGCAAGGGGCGGGCCCGAGCGCGAATAGAGCACGCCCACGCACCCCTCGCGTGGTCCTCCAAACTCAGATTCCTGTCCCACGCTGTTGTCTCGTCTCATCTCTACTTCTCACTCCCATATCCTCGTTGCGGCAATGCACTAATGAGCTGTATCGGTTTGTGAGCCCACACGGTCTGCCTATCCGAGTTCTGACGAAGCGTGCCGCAGCAAGAGAGGTGTAGTATCTTTAACTCACACATTCACCACTCAAACAGCCCTGTCGAACAATTGTGACCAGGGCTCACCCCAGCCGAGCCTCTGAAGCTCGGCCCACTAGACGCCACGAGCAAGTGATTGATTTCCATGTTCGAGAGATCGCCCCTCGAGACGATCCTAGAGTCCTCGCGGCATATCAGACTTGGGGCTTCCAGGCGAGCTTGACGCAAAAATATGGATATGTTCTCAGGACCCGACTCAGATTTTGTGCAGTCATTGTTCAAGATATGAACTGATCATTACTCAGACCCGGATAGCACGTCAGTACAAGTGGCCAACGCAGCATTCGGTCCTTGTCGATTAGTGGTTAGATCATCACGTTGTGGTCACTCTGGTGCAGAACCGTGAAGACGGAGGCTCGAATCCTCCCTGGGACAGTGATTTTGGTGACCAGTGTTTTGTGTTTTGCTCAGTGCGGCCTCACTTCCCGCTACTTTTCAGGCTCAAGGGTCAGCTCTCACATGCGGAAGATAGTGCTGGTATACAATGATACTAATGTACAGTCTAGGAGTGGGTATTGGTCGAATCGTCCGATGTGTGTGGGAGAATATCATGTGGCCTATGTAAGGCCGTTCGATCTCGATGTCGGTCCCCTGGCCTCATATCCTGCATCTCGACGCTGTCCGGTATCATGGAATCCTGGTCGAACTCGACGCCCTCAATATCAGCTCTTTCCGTCTGCGGGTTGGTGCCAATGATAATAGACGTGAACAGGAGCGTCGTCGACTGGCCGCTGCTTGATGGGTCGGTAACGAGAGTCGGATTCGCGCTTGCGCTCTCATGCAGATTAAGCATGAGGCGTGACATCATTGTCACGGAAACACTAGAAGGTAAAGGAATAAACAATTCATGGCAGCTGAGCTATACAGACATGCAAACAGGAAATCGACTTACCTGCTAGCAAATGTGGACAAGACCCCGCGCAGAAGGGGCTAGAGGCGAGAAGGTCATACAGCTGTAAAACCTCTCGAGGAGCGAGTAGACCATACCTGAAGCAACTAGATTGGTGGTCAGTCCGGATTGGCAAGACGTAATGGGAAGGGTATATTACATAAAAGGTTAGAGTGTTCGCAAGGTTGACAGAAGCCATGATGCTTCCAGAATCGGCCTCCAATGAAATCACGTTACAATTCAGTAGAAAGACGACTTACGCGAAGTACAGTGCACCTGTCATCCAATCAGTATGGCGCTCGTTAATTTAGGCAGAGCCGTACCGTCTCGCATCATGAGCGTGACAAGATTTGGCCGTGCATCAGATATGGCATAAACGGCACGGTTTTTCCAGGTCTTATACATTGTGAGAGAGAAAATGAGTACGTCGTACAAGAAGAGTGCTTCCCACGCTACAGCGACGCCTGGTTGATTGAAATTGACATCAGGACGCCCCAGTGAAGACAAATCATGCAACTCACGTATACCCCTGGAAAGCGGGTGTCACTTCAGGAGGAGAGCGGGACAACGAAGAAAACACACGTTATTCGAGATTCGCCGAGATGGCAGCCGCTATCCAGAGCGGTGCTTGAGCTCTGACCTGTAACAGCAAACTACGATGTGATAAAATCCCGTCTCAATTTGCTATAATCTCTTAGCTTGAGTGCACTCACCACAGCGAGGGCCATCAACGTTGCCCCGGTCCCCACTACACCCACGAGTATCGCTTTACTCCGATTGTACAGCGCATATATGCGGAGACATAGTATGACTATGGGACATCGTGATTCGTGCCGGGGGACTCAAAGTACAACACAATAGCTCTACTTACTGCAGACCACGACTTGCGCGCCTATCAAGAGTATCTGCCGGTACAGAGCGTAATCATCACAGCTGTAGAGTGGTCATGAATGGGAACCGTCATAAATTGTGTATCAATAGCTCAGACCTCTGCATAATGACCGTCAGCAGCAAGCATAGAGGTGGGGCAAGGTACATACTTTTGCGGTTTTAAAGTTGTAGAAGTTTCCCACGTTGACGGCAATGTCCTACGCAGGGGTCAGAACGATCAGGAGGCTACGAGGAGACTGGGTATTACACCGAAGAACGTGAGATATCGGTTAACATAAAACAACCACGACCCCGTCGGTTTTGGTCCTCTCCAGACGCGGATGTACTCGGTAGAGAACGTAAGCACGTAGTCGTAGTAGAATATGCCTGCAATATATGAGCTATCGACACAGCACATCAATGCACACGAGACACACTGATTCCGACCAGATGCAGGTAGTTGTGGAGATCGCTGGAAGCATATCAGTGATGCGCTGCTCATCGTTCGAGAGCGCACGTACATCTGGTACGAGGTGGAGGCATCGCTCATGATGGATGCTGGGGCCCAGCGAGGACAACCGAGGGGTCCTGGGTCAGTCCAGCAGAATCAGCGCACGAACATGGCAGGGAAGAGGAGAAGAGAACAAGGCGAAGTTACCTCATATATCACAAGCACACACCTGGCCTGGAGTCGCCAGATCCACCAGTGAGATGCTCACCGGGACAGTTGATGGAAGCACGTCAGCCGCATGTATCCCGAGCCTATCCTGCCAAGCCGACCTTCCGCCCCACACCGGCGGAACGCAGGGCTCGCGGCCGAGGTCGACTGCCAACGTTCGCCGCTGCCATTGGTGAACGTGGGCGCGATGCTCAGGCGTATTGGCTAATCCTCCCTACGTGGCCCATGGGATGCCGTGGCTCGAGAGTTGACAAGGACATGAGACCTCCAGAATACACGTCTGATTACGTTTGGTCGCAAGACGCCCCGCGCCAGGGGCACTTCGGCCGCATCAAGCATGCCGGTCTCACAGACAAGGTGGCGCCCACAACTGGAAGGCGCTCAATCGCCGCCGGCGATCTAGTACGAATGTCAATTTATATACTGTAAGTACTCTCGATCATATCGTATATCGCTCGTCAACACCGCCTAGGTGACAGAAATGAACATTTGCCATAGTCGACAAACGCATGACGAGCGGCAGGAGGTATGATGGGGCTACCGAAATGCCAACTAGAGTATTACATGCGCATCTCCGATAACCTCGGGCAAACCCCAAGGGGCTCTATGATGATGAAGGATCAAAAGACCATCATCAATTCCTCTGGTGTGTTCAAACCTATATGTTCAGTACAGATGCGCCAAGGAGTCATACGCGAACAAGGTGGGAATTGTCACCCTGGCAGTCTGCTCAGTATTCATTGAAGTGCTGCTGCGCACCTCAGATGCGGCCGCTGGACATCATAGTAAGGGACCTTACCCTTGATGTGCGTATGTGACAGATATGCGCTCGTTAGGTTCAGCATAATCTCGGAATAGGGCTCCCAAAGCGCTGACCACTAATGAGAATACACGCACCTTCTAGATGTGCGTCGTACAATGTAGCCTGCGCGCATCCTGTACCTGAGTGAAGATTGCAGTGCAAAACTGGTAGAGGTTGATGAGACGGGCCTGCAGAAGCTTAACTAGGCACACGCTCCGAGGACATGAGGCCGTGTTATATTCGGGCAGCTGGAGCACTTGGGTATCAGGGCCGCCAAAGCCAACGCCAGACTGCTTGCGAGTGCCTGACAATTTTCCAAAGCTTCCGAGAGTTAGGCCTTTGTTAGCGTATCTGACGTTCGCGGACACATTCCCCGGACAATATACGGCCGCGGGGTTTATGTGATAATAGGACCATATACATCACTAAGGGCTGCCGGATCTAAGTGTATGCGGAGAAAGACTGTTGGTGCGCAAGGCGAGCAGAGGAGGAAGAAACCTCCGGGGGACAACGAAACGAACAATGGAGGTAACGTCTGTCGTGAAACGTCTGGTGTCACTGCGCCGAAGATACTCAGGATGGACAAACGATCTGCGTGGAGAACTGTCAGAGGACCAGATGACAGTCGCCACGTCACCCTCGGACGCATGTCGCGACATGTCAACAGACTATGATGATGCATTGCCGAACCGGATCGTCTTGGCTCTGAACACGATTGTCAATGCAGACATGACAGATTGCTGCGCTCGAAGGACACCCGGGGACTGCCAGTAGTCGTAGCGGAAGGAGCACGCGAGCCGAGCACATTCTAGGTACTCAACACGCACGGAGTATTGTCCGCGAGGCAGGCGGAAGGTGTGGTCGGAGACGTGTACCTATGCCGAGCGGTCGCCGAGTCTGCAGCCGAAGAGGGGCGCAAGCAAGGAGAAGCGGGCTGAGGACGAAGGGTGGTGGGAATCGAAGACAAGCATGGGAAGGATCGGAGCTGGAGACAAGGAGCCAGGATAGGATCAATGGAGGGCCCTACCGGAGGCGACGACCCAAGGCGCGAGACTGGCCCCTTGCACACGGGAGGAGCTCTGTCGGAAGGCAGCCCGGAGGTTGTGAACGCTGGTGATCTTCCCTTGAAGTTAAGGTTCAGAATGGACGGGAGTACTTTAACAAGCGGATTCCCCCTTGATAGTGTCAACCCGAAACAGCTCTTCAATGAGGATCGAACCACCGAGCTCGTCGACGAAGGTACAGCCAGTGCTAAAGAGAGACTCCAGCCAGTCATCTATCATACTTCGACATTGGTCTAGTCGAGCGGTGATAGTCATCTGTAACACTACACTGGCAAATTTCCCCACCCCCGCAACCTCTGCCAGGAGCCCCAAAATGCCATGAGCACTAGTTGCGAATGATGATGCGGCTCTCCTTCGCAACTAACCGAAGCTTCGAGCTCGCGCATTTGGAGCACGAGTTTGTGGGAAGATGACGCGATCTATGACTATCGAAGGTGCGCACTTACCAATGGCTATGCACCTGTGCATGTGCCCAAGGGCGACGCTGATCTCAAGCCATTACGTTCCGTAGGCGGTGCAAGCTGGTGGCGGGTTCGGAGTATGCATGCATGGAAGTGGTGATGCATGTGTGGTGAGCTCTTTCTTAGGAGTTTCGCTCTCTTACCGTTGGGACTGAGAATATTATGGATATGTACGGTTTCACAGAGCGATATGGATTACCATACAGCAACATACAGCGCAGAGAAAGGCTGAGCGACTTGGTGGAGCGCAAGCCACGGTGGACGAGAAAGGCAAGATGGCAGTACGGGGGTTGTCACGCCATGTGATCGATTGTGACCGATTGTGACAGGCGCCCGATTATCGAATTCCAGCTGATCTGCCTGGATCGGCAATTGCCGCAGGCTCATAAGGGACGCCTGCGGCCAGTCTCCACTACCTCTCCTCCCCTTCTCCCTTCTCCGTCACCATGTCCAACGTATTCGTGAGTATAGCCCACACAAACATGTCCGCCCTCTACCCCCGCTTACCGGCAACTTTTCTCGCTAGTTCGACATCACGGTCGACGGCAAGCCGTTGGGCCGCGTCACCTTCAAGCTTTTTGACGATGTCGTCCCCAAGACTGCCAAAAACTTTCGTGAGCTCGCCACCGGCCAGCACGGCTTTGGCTACAAGGGCTCCGCATTCCACCGCATCATCCCCAACTTCATGCTCCAGGGCGGTGACTTCACTCGCGTAAGTAGATCGAGATCTCAATAAAGTCGCCTGACGCGACCTGCCATCTCAGGGCAACGGCACGGGTGGAAAGTCCATCTACGGCGAGAAGTTCGAGGGTAAGTCGTTCCGTGCCTTAGATCGGGCCTCGCGCTCAATATATGCGCGTCAGATGAGAACTTCAAGCTCAAGCACACCAAGCCCGGTACTCTGTCCATGGCAAATGCCGGAAAGAACACCAACGGCTCTCAATTCTTCATTACCACGGTCGTGACCTCCTGGCTCGATGGCGCCCACGTCGTCTTCGGTACGTCTTTCTATGGAACACCTTTTACGTTTTTGGGTAGCTGAACGAGACCCCATCAGGTGAGGTTGTCGAGGGCTTGGACATCGTGAAGAAGGTTGAGAGCTACGGGACGGCTTCCGGCACGCCCAAGGGGAAGATCGTCATCGCCGACTCCGGGATTGTCTAAGCCTGTCGTTGCTAGGGCGGGCTGGTTTTGATGTCGCTTGCTGGTGCGTGGCTGAGGTGTTGAAGAAGAAGATAATACCATCCTGTACATTGAAGACGTTGTACTGTTACAGTGGCTTGTGTGTCGATAGATACATGAGACTCAATATTGCGTATTCTTTGGTGACTATGCACCTCGAGCATTGCACAGCACGCTTCGGGAAGCTGTGTGCTCTGTCAGCGGCGGTGCGGCTACAAGCAGCTAATGCATTCCGCGAGACAGCATATTTGTCATTGAAGGCTAAAACTTGCCACGGACCGGTGGTACACTATCTATAAGACGCTTTCCAGCTAGTCCTCCGAGTACTACCATTCAAGGACATGTCCGTACTCAGCTGCCTGCACTCATCAGGTCGGTCGCAGACGGACCATAAGACCACTCACCAGCGCCTGAAGATGTCTCGAGCGCGCAAGGACATGTACAGCATCCGCTCGGAACATGGTAGAGTCAGAGTGAACACGCCAACAGGCAGATCCTATTCCACTCGACAACTAGGTCATCTGCCGCGATTGTCGCAGAGCCGTCCCGCATGTCAGAACGAGGTGACGGTCGCCGAAGGGCGGCAGCCGCAGAGACGCACCCGAGCGCTCCACAGCGGAAGCCGGAGGTTCGTGCTGTGTGGTACCGACGTGAGCTACCGAAACGAAGCCTACATTTGCAATTCGTACCACTCGATAGACCCTTTTGGACGAGAAAATTGTGCCGGTCAGTACGTCGTGATAGGATTCACCCAGCGCGCGTTGCGATCTGCCCGGCGGAATCGCTGTGCAGGTGGGGCAGCGGAGTCACCTGGGAAGAAGGGTGGCGCGCCCGAAGAACAAGAACGAGACGCTACTGCCAACACGTCGCGCCCGCGGGATTGACACGGGATGTCTAAACTCACCTAGAAGTCCGTTACGGCGCTGTGGCAGCTGACTGCTACTCAGTTGCGACATCGCCGAAGGGTTGCTGACTGTGATCATTCATGCCTGTAAGCACTCGAGGTGCTGCCAGGAGTGTCAGCGAGGCCCTTGCCCGTGAACGAGTTATGGTCATACATCCTTTGATCACGAGTGCAGCTGTGCAAAGGCTACACTTGTAATCTTGAAGAGGGCCACCAAAAGCAAGTAGTGGTGCACAGTCACACATAAGTGTCTGAAAAACGAGCGACATTAGCCTTGCTCTAGCGGCCCACCAGTTCATATGCGGAACACTCAGGCGTTATAAAACTGGTCTTCCTATGATCACTGTTTGTAAGATATATAAAAGCCCATGGCTGCAAGCTACATTGTAAGGATACAGAGCCGTGGACTCGCAAAATGCATAATGTAACAACCTGTCAGCCATAAATGTCAATGTCCTGATAATCCGCTATGCTACAACATGCCGAATACTACATGAGGCTGTATGGCAAGGAGCGGCAGGTAAGCAGGGGCGCTTTGTAAACAGCGACCAACTCACAGATGAGAAGCAATATCAAACTCGCGGGGAAACACTACATTCGCGCGACGTGTCTGTGTGGGGGAGCTTGCGGGAGACTCGTATTCGATGGGCAAGACCTTGAGCAGATTCTGGTGTAACAGTGAGGGAAGCGCTCTCTCGACAGTGGCCTGAGCCTTGCGCCACGTATCCTTCGTCTTATCATAATCCGCCTCCACGCGCTGTCTGGCGACCCTCCCCCATTCGCTGTCGCTCTTCTGCCCCTCAGCATCAGATTCCGCGCCTCCCTCCGTACTCTTGGGCCTGGGCCTGTGGGTTGCCCTGTTGGTGAGGCGCCGCTGCTCCATCTCTAGCGCGACCCACTGGTCGCGGGAGCCAACCTGCACGAACCTGAACCATTCATTCGAGCGGATCTCGACAGTGACCTCGGCAAGGTCAGCGAGGGTCTCGAGGATGTCGATTTGACGGCCCAGCTCGGGTAAACGGATGCGTCCAACTTGCTCGAGACACTCGTCGAGCGCCGGGTGGCGATTGTCCAGGGAGAAACGGAAGCGAAGAGAGGCCACACTTCCCGCAACGACGCTTCGTAGAAGATAAGGAATAGATGGAGCTCCATAGAATGTGCCGTACCCTGTAGCGAGGTCGAAAGTCAATGTCTGGATCGAGGTGAGATGCGACAGGAGAGGATCGTCTGGAAGCCGCGTCAGCTGTTTGAGATCAGGACAGGCGGAAAGTGGAGGAGGACTCACTCTTTAGAAGATAGTGGGGGGATTCGTAGGCATAAATAATCGTCAAATCCTTAACAGAACGGCCGAGTGCTTGGAGAGACACGAGAGGAGCGGCCACGCGCCATCGTTCCACAGTGTAGGCCAAGTTCTTCAAACGCAGCATTTCCGGTGGCTGATACAAAAACCAATTGAGAAGGAATTCTTGTGCGTTTCCCGAAGCAATCCTCAACGTGTCCAATGGAGGGCGTGGGCCACGCTTCGTGGGATCTGCTCTTCGTTCCACGACAGTTAGATTCTCTATGAGGAGGGTTGTGAGTGAGGGAAAATGGCCTAGGAAACGCGTGAGATCTATAGGTGTCTTGAATTCGATGCGGTTGACTGCAAGTTTGGTTACAGTGTGGAACAAAGGCCGCACTCCCCACTCCACGTAGCGTACGTCTTGCATGAGGACGTTTTCCAAAGTCGTCAAGGAAGACATAAGAGCAGGGACTTGCTTGTTGACCCAGTCGGCCTTACGGTCTGCGGTTCTAAAAAGGGAATCGGATATACGCATTTCCCGCACGTAATGCGTTAACACTGTGGGACCAGGGCCTGTGTATGTGCTTATTGCACGACACAAGAGGTCATAAGAAACTAGTTTCATGACGCGGTGTAGATGTGTCCTGCTTCTTGGTAGCCATGTTCTGCAGGTTAGCGCACAAGCTCGTAGGGCCGTCAAATCGCCATGCAGGCAGTCGATAACGAGGTCAGTGAGCTCCTGGGGGAAACACGGAAGCGACGGCTTGTGGTCTAGGTGCTCTTCCATGTAAGAATGCTCTCCAAGGAAAGCGAGAATCTCGGAGTCCATAGTGGCACCTTGGCTTGAGCGGAAAATGAAATGCGAATGTCTGCGGTGGCGACTTCAGTGATATTGACTGAAGATATAACGGGGGAGTACAGACACGAATTCGGTCGAATGCGACAAAGACTTGCAGGGGTAAGAAGAATGAGGGGATGTAAACCACTTACACAAGCGGCATAAGTAGTAGAACTGAAGTAGGCATCAGCCACCGAACACGATTGGATATCTCTGGGCACGTGCAGGGATAGACCGAGGCTCGCCCAATCGGGTCCAAACTCAGTCCTCCATATGTCCGGCTTCGTATGCTCTACCACCACCTGGACCGCCTTTGTGTTTGTGGAAAGAACAGCTGTATCGCAAACTTTCTCATATGTGGTCGTATGGCGATGGTTATGACTCCGGCCGCAGTCGCCTTCTATGGACAGCCTCGATAGTTCCCTACTGTTTTCTTCTTGTCCTGGTACTCGGGATATCACAGCGGTTATCTGTATATCCATTGCAAAGCCCATGGATGGATATGCACCGCTAAGGCTATGTGGTAGGAGCACTGCCAAACGGTCACGGTGTTTGTCACTGTGTCAGTTGCACAACACAGCTTCAAGGGCGGCTGACAGTCGTCTTGACTAGTCATAGTCAACGAAACAGTTGCAAGGCAAGCCAAAGTCTCATGAGAGTTCTAACAGCGTTCTTTTTATCTGAGGCACTGTGACCAATCTTACTTTCCGGTCAAGATCCCTATTCAAGGACCGAGATTCACAGAGTTCGAAACAGTATAAGCCACGTGTCATCCTACGCGTTCATGGCACAGAAGCGATTTGGGGCTGTTCCCCTGAACACATGAAAGTAAGTGCAAGAGCTACACATACTTGTCGAGTAATGAAAGGCGAACGACTATTCCAGTGCGAGCCCAATTGGTCATCACGGGCGCCTCGTACTGAGCGCCGCTGAGTTGCGCGCCACGGTAGCTATCAAAACAAGCTATTCTGATATGTGACTCAATTTGCAAGATGCTGATACATAAGCTCGTAATCTGCATAATAAGCTCCCGTGTCTTGTGCAGAGGCGTCATACACCTCTTGAGATGAATCCTTATTTCATCACCCTGCTCGTTTTGCCCGAATAGGTAACCTCTAGCGCGCTCTCCTATGGATTGGGTCCGGGAGAAATTACGCACAGCCTCGATAGACGACCAACAGTTTGCAAACGGCGAAGGAGGTCACCGGTGATTACTTAGCCGTACTGCGACTGAGCTGATTTTGCCTCAACTTACATCGGCAGGTCTGAATGATCCCGTACTGATCTGTGATATCGATTGAACGGACGTCCGAGCAGACGAAGTCCGATGGATGACCCATGGGTCTTACTCTCGAATCCGAGATCATCTGGGCCCAATGACGTCAAGAGCGGGAATTCCCATACCAGGCAGGTCATATTCGGTCGATCGCGTGTGAGTGGATTCACCTACCAGCCCTTCGCTTGTTTCGCCTCCCAGATTCGGGATTCCGTACCGTGTGTCTCCGAGTGAGCCCGATGCGGTACGCCCGCTGCGCACACGGGGTGTCTCATTTGCGAGAGCTAGCTGACATAGACCGAGACGCTCGCACCAGCCCTTCCTCTCGCCTCGATTCAATGAAGATTTCCTGAAGCCCCCCGAATCTCCCGAGTCAGCCGCAGGTCCGCCCGATGAGTCGTTCCGCGTCATACGTTGCTGCTTACCAAACAGGTTGTATGCTCGGACTGCCAGCGGGCGGGCCTATAAAAGGGACATGCCCGAGTCCATGTCGGTCAACTCGACATAGAAAACGTTTTCACCCGGCTACCCCCTTATACCATACTTCTTCCAAAATGGATTCGCAACGCTCACAAGCGGAACCTTCGAGCTCGGGACGCGCACCACGCGGCTCAGCTTGTCTCAACTGCCGTCGTCGTAAGCTGGTGAGAGCGAGCCAAGCCGATACTGTTTCTCCGGGGCTGACAAGTCCATACATTTGATATTCTAGAGATGTGATGGCGCTCGGCCAATATGTGGGCCGTGCATTCGTACAAATAGACAAGCTGATTGCGAATACACGGACGGTCCTGTGCGAAGCCCGACTCAAGTGCTCGAAGACAACATTGCTCGTCTTGAGGCCCGTATTTACGAATTGGAGAATCCGGAAACGATAACGCCATCTGTGACACTCTACGACCCACGCATTTCTTCGTCTGACTCAGGAATGACAAGTGAGCATCAAGTGTTACAGAGGACGACAAAGTGATCTGACGGCTCACCATAGTAGATCCAATAAATCCTGCGATGGGGCCTCCACTTGACTATGCATCCGGAGGTCGGGACCATTCAACAGGCTTTCTTGCCCCTCCTGGCGCTCCATTGACATTTCTTAATTCTGCCACAGAGCCGTCGCTACAACATGTACAAACTCTGTATGTATATGACTATGACTACCGTAGTAGCTTGTAGGTCTCACTTCCCCCTAGTGTTGGCCATTTTCTCCCGTTTTCGTCTCAGGTCGGATTCTTCTTGCATCCTCGGCGATTCATGGAGAGTATTTCCGTATCACACTCCGAAACGCGTATAGCGCGTCTTAGCCCTGCCCTCGTCAACTCTGTCTATCTGTGGGGTGCCCGTTTCTCGAGGAACCAGTTGCTGCTTGCCCAAGAATCGGTATATCTCCAACGCGCGGTCCAGTCAGTCTCGCTGGCGCTTGCGGAGGGACCTCGCCACAACATCGTCTACCTAATACAAGCAGAAGTCCTCCTTACCAGCTATTTTTATGCCAGTAATCGTCTCCTCGAAGGGCGGTATCATTGTAATGCGGCAGTCGCGCTCGTGTTAAGTAGCCACCTGAACAAGCTACGTTCTGCCCAACCTCCCACACCTCGAAGTCCTGTAGTGGTTGCGAATTACCAGTTACCGCAACCTGTCGATGCGATCGAGGAAGGAGAACGAATCAACGCGTTTTGGACCGTTTTTATTCAAGACAAGCAGTGGGGAGCGGCTGCTGGGCTTCAATCACACTTCAACGGCACTCCAGGTGCACAGGTCGATACTCCTTGGCCGTTGGAGATAGAAGATTACGAGAGAGTAAGTCTCTTAGAACTCACTCGAGAATACCGATTTATAGCAATACAGGGCGGCTTTCCTTTGGCCTGGCGAAGTTCGAACACCGTACATAATTTTCTAACAGGTGAAGGACTAGATGTATTCGGAACCGCATTGTTCGCCCTTCACGCTAAGGCGGCCACATTGTTCGAGCGAGCGGCACGCCTGATGTCCCAGTGGACAGCGAGTCTGTGTAAACCCCTTTGCATTGAATGTTCTCTAGCTGACAGAGCTGTTGCACTTAATTCTACAGATCCAGCTTATTCCGAGCGATTTGCCACTGAACTCTTTACATTGGATGGGGCCATTGATCGCTTTATAGCATCTTTACCACCCGTGCACCTACATCTGGACGTTGATGTAGCTCGCAAGCTCATCATCACGCATACGCTTGCTCGCGATGCCACGATCAAAGTTCAGGCAGCCATGAAGCAGGTAACGGGGATGCCGTCTGACAAAGACGTCGTGGCTGCACAGGCAATTGCCGCAATGCTTGACAATACCAATATCGGTGGTCTTTATTACGTTGATCCAATCGTCGCGGTTCGTCTTGCGTTGTCCTGTTCGCTTTCACAGCCCTGATACCCTCGTTTCAGATCGTATGGTCTGACATATGTCGCGTCCTCTCCGGTGAGGCTGCCCGGTTGCGTCTCTTGTGGAGCTCCACCTCATTGCTTGCGGACCAAGCTGGTGCCGGACGCGAGTTGCAGCACATAGAGGCAGATCACAACAGGCTTGGCGTTGCATTGCAGAAGGTTCTTGCGGCGATGACGACCTTGGCCAACACATGCCCATTAACAGGTGTGTCCTTTCTTGTGTCTTAGCTGCCCCGCGCTGACACCCGATTAGCAGTACAAGCTGCGAAGGTCCAACAGGAGATGGAGAATGCCGCGAGATAGTCGTAGGTAAGATTCGCATCCATTGGTCCTATGACCGGCTTTGTTGACGTCGTATTCGCTCGAGCAGGATTTATCCTTCGATTTTCACCCCAACGTCACCACTCAAGTAGGATTAGATAGATTCCCCCCGCTCTGCCTTGTAGCGTTCCTAACATAGAAGACATTACTCATCGCCGTAGCGCGACGGGCCGGCTTGTGGTCTACTAACGCCTACAGCATTTTTACACGCGACTACGACTCGTGTCAGATGAGCCAACGATGGCATCCGCACGAGGCCCGGCTTCCTCGTGCGAACACTTAGCTAACAAGTGACTTCCCAGCGTTATCGAACATTAGAGTTGCGTAGCTTCGGAAGATGTTTGGATGTTCTGTCGGGCGGAGGCCGGTGAGTGTGCTTTGCCGCTGATCTCAGGCAGCTTCAGGTTGCGCCTGAGCAACAACGCAACACATAAGTTACATTTGAAGGTTCATCCATGGCGATTGCATGGGTGCAGTGCATTTGCATCTCCTAGAACAAGCCGGTGACACCTTGCGGCCGTGCTTGTCAACCGATAGATGCTAGATTAACAATGGAACGTAGGGGGGTGCGATCTCATGTCTCGGCAGAGCTCATATATGGATCGTGCCCTGGACGATCGTTCCCCACATGCCTTGAGCAGCACATAAGGGGACTTGTGGTGTAAATGGACTCCCGGCTTACTGTCCACGGTGCGTACTTAACTTATAGTATTGCATCGAAGATGTTGTGAGCAATGGCACATCTTCAGGTTTCATTTGTCAAGACTCTATCGCGCATATCATTGCCACTATAGAGCTCACTGTACAACACGTATCAAGGCTGTCGAGCCGCAAGCGGATACAAACCTAGACTCAAATGAAAGTAAATAAAATAAAAGCTGTCGGGAACATTTCCAAGGCAGACGCCCCAAGACGCTTGCCCGATGACGGGTTCCCGAAATGCCATGATCAATCTTGCATCCTAGTCTGACAAGCCCACGATCGTTAACGAGATCGGCTCGTTCATTAGGATGCCATCGAACATGTAGGTGCCGGCAAGGCGCTATGGCTGTCCTCGCCCAGTGCTCTTGATTGCCTGTAGTCTGACCGCCTAGCATTGTCTTGCATTTCGCGTTTATGCTTGAAGTGCAGAGAGATTTTGTACATTTGCGAACAAGGGAGGTGAACGTGGAAGGTAAAGGGTGATAGCTCAAGAACAGCCAATAAATACGGGCCTGAAGACATTGACGCTAGGTGACTGAGTTCTCGGTACCTCCGCGCGGCTGGGAGAGCTGACTTGATGCTCGGTACCCTCGCGCAACCGGGAGAGATGACTTAATGCTCGGGACCGGTGGATGCTTCGCCCGGTCGGGACACTCGCTCTAGACTAACGTTCAAAGGACGTGGCCTTCATTGTTGATGGTTACTGGACGATATACAAATTCTGATCATTCGGAGCTTGGTCGCAACTTGAAGGGGAGCCGGTAGTGCAATTCTGATACAGCATAGCAGAATTACGACATCCTTAGTACAGCTGCATGTCCTATTTTTATTTACTTCTTTATATCCATTTTTATATCCGCTTGAGGTCGTCGCCCTATGCCGAATAATACATGCGTGTACAATGCGTAGCGAAGCAAATAGGGACCTTGGGCTGTCCGATATCATGGAGGAGGTTGAGCGCGAGCAAACTATCGTACGGGTTTCGAAGTGGAGGTAAGTGGGTCGTTCTTTTCGTGATGTGCTATTTGAGGCCCTCTACATTCCGTTTAACTTAACATATTATTCTCTAGCAGCGTCACGGTCTGAGACGTAGCCCACAAGCGCTCGCGCGAGCATCCTGAAGCGCCTGTGAAGCGCCCGAGCGTCACAACTCAACAAGCGAAGTTCGTCAGATGACTCGGTCTCAAGAATGCGGTCTCACGACGAGGCCCGTCATGAGATCGACGAGCGCGATGGATTTTCATATGATTTTTGGACTTGGAAATGGTCAGCAAATAAACCATTTGTCTGAACGAGGTGAGTGCTAGGATGGGCCCTGCAGATCAAAATGACGATCGATCGAGTTGTCTACAATTGGTTATCAACCACTGCGATTACCTGTAAATCTCGCGTATTTGCATTCTTGGAACAGGGTACGGCTAAGGGCCTTCGTGTGCTTGAATATCCTGAATATACGCTTTGCTTTAAGCCTTGGCGCGCAGCATTGGGTGAGTGTACAGTATCTGAGTCCTCCGCATTGGCTTATCGGATAAGCATGTCTTCTTGGTCGTCTCCTTCATAGTTACTCCGAGATAAAGCTCCTCCAAGGACGCAAAAGTGACTACGGGAGTAAATGTGTAGTCTTCACAGATGTCTCCCTGCGCGCCACGCATGTGCTTCAATTTGACAAGTCATGTTCGCTTGAAAGGCTCGCGCGCCTGTAGCAGTTCGCAGGGTCCGAAAGTACTCCGCTTGACTCGCGCGCATCATTGATCACCTCCACTTCCCCCACTTGTGCATGTCTCGTCAACCCCCTACGCCAAGGCCAAGGGGCTATCGTGATGCCCACTCTATTCTGATCTTCTAGCCGTGCAGATCGTAAGTCCGGGAAAGAAAATGGGATACGTCAAGCGAAATATTCGTCCAGGGGCAGGGAGAGGCTTATCTCTGCGTTTTGGAGGCGATAGCTGTCCAGCATGGCACACGATCCTCATATATTCGCTTGCTCAGCGTCAAGTGCAGTGTTCGACGTCTGTCCTCCAGCAGTCTTGTCTGCACCCTCTTTGTAGCACGACAGGATGTCCACAACGATGGATGCGGTGCCGGAGCTTCAGCGCTCGAACACGTCCAGCTCTCTGGAGAAGAGGAAGGCCTACAGCGCGGATATCGATGAGGAAAAGGTTATGGTCATGGAAGCATCGTCGGTGGACGAGGTCGGGTCAGACGTCAAAGTCATTGAGAAGGCGGAGGATGTCGCCATCGAGGTCGGTTTTGAGCATGCCTATTGGGGATCGGTCGTTGACGCAAGATGCATAGATTCTGACGACCGAGGACCACCCAGAGCTGCCGGTTTGGACTTTCCGGACAGCATTCCTCGGTGTTGGACTTAGCGCGTTCAGTGCCGTCTTAGCGACGATCTATACGTTTAAACCTCAGGTACTTGCGAGAGTGCAAATGTCGCGATATTAGAACCTAATATCACGACTCCGGCTGTCAGAATGCTACGGTCTCCCAGCTATTTTGCTTGATCATTGCCTATGTCCTCGGGACGTTTATGGCTGGTACGTCATGACCTCTTCGATATGTATGAGCAATGATTGATGAACCAGGGCTTAGGTGTCATCCCTTCGGGTGGGTATTGGAAATATCTAAACCCAGGCCCGTTCAATATCAAAGGTGGATTACCTTGCCTTGTTGTTTTAGGCACATGAGATCCTAACTAAACGAACAGAACACACGGCGATCGTCATAATGGCGTCAACAGCGTCGTCGGTAGCCATCGCGATGGAGATCATTGCCGCTCTAGGTATGCATCAAGGAATGCTACTCAAACGAATGAGATACAAAACTCCCATCAGATCTCTTCTATGACATCACTCTCAACGCCGGCGTCGCCATATTCCAGATCTTCGCGAGCCAGATGATCGGGTACGGTATCGCGGGAGTCTGTGAGTATTTTAATTTACGTGGCACTCTATCCCTCATAGACATTACTCTGTGATTTTGCAGTACGCACGCTGCTCGTGTATCCGACCTAGTACATACATGATTCATTCCTCACCGGCCGGGAGGCGCTGACCGTACTACGATACAGTGCTTTCTACCCGACATATATATCCGTGGTCAATCTCTTGCAGAGCTTGCACTATGGAGGTGTGCTCAATGCGAAGCGCAGGTACGCTTATCTCTATTTAGGGTCTCCGGAGCTGACGGATGTCGCGAGATCAGACGATACTTCTGGATGGTGGTACGTCTGCGTTCCTGGATCTCTGAGCATCATGCGTAGTAACATTGCAATGTCTCCAGTTCGCCGCCATCTTTTTCTGGGAATGGTACGCTGAATAATTCCTTGCGATGTCTTGTTGATATGCATGGATTTTGCGGCAGGATCCCGCAGTATCCGTTCCCTCTCCTGACGGCATTCTCTATCATCTGTCTTGCCGACAATGGCCGCCACCCATTCGTGCGCAACCTGTTTGGCGCTGGATCGAGCAATGAAGGAATCGGGCTGTTTAGCTTCAGCACGAGCTGGACCCTCATTACTCAGGGCTCGCCGCTCGTATGGCCCCTGCAGACACGTGCGCATTAATTTCACCGCCGGGCTATCGTCACGCTGATGTCACTTGATGTTGATACTACTCAGAGGTTAACTCGTACAGTGAGTGTAGAGCGGTATAGACGCGTCTGTCCGACGAGGCTGATCACAGCGCGCACAACCAGTCGGAATGGCTATTGGGTACCTCGTGCTCACGCTGACGTACTACCACAACGTCTTCAACGGGCGCGACCTCGTCTGGATGTCCAGTGCGCTGTTCGGCACGGACGGCGGAACGTACAACCAGAGCGCGATCCTCACGCCGAGCAACCAGCTCGACCCCGAGAAGCTGGCCGAGGTCGGCCTGCCGCGGTTCACGACGACGTACGCGATCAGCCAGATGTGCTACAACGTCAGCCTGGGTGCGGCGATTGTGCACGTGTTGCTGTGGTACTGGGGCGACCTCAAGAAGGGTGTGTTTGGCGGTGGCTCTCGAACGCGGGCGCGCCGGTGCTGACGGGGTTCTGCGTTCCTGACAGCGTTCGGCGAGGTGAAGTTCCTTCGGGGCGATCAGGAAATTGACGACCCGCACTACAAAGGTGGTCTATTGCGAACAAGTCTGACTGCGGGTACTAACCTGAACCGCAATTTGCAGCGATGAAGGTCTACAAGGAGGTCCCGCAATGGTGGTACCTCACGCTGTTTGTTATCTCGCTTGCCGTAGGAATTGGCTGCAGTGTATGTGCCCCGGCCGCTGAGATATCGACCGCTTCCTGAGCTCTTCATGCAGTACTCTGGGCATACCGTGCTGATCCCGTGGTGGAGTGTAATTCTGTTCACGGCAATCAGCTTCTTCCTCGCCATCGTTCTTGGCTTCAGTGAGCACGGCTTTATCTCTTGATAGCTGTCTACTGACGGGTATACGCAGTCATGGCCACGACTGGGTTCTCGCTGTCGATCAAGTATGCGATCCAGATCCTGGCGGCCTTCGTTCATCCTGGGAACCCCGTGTATGTGCGGGCGGTGTTCACGCGAGAAACATGCTGAGATCCTACATACAGCGCTGTGATGTATGTTAACCTATACGGAAACAGCACGGCCTACCAGACATTGTACATGCTGCAAGGTGAGCCTTGTATCGCTGTCGTTCACTCTACCTTGCGCCTAAGAACTGGCACCGGCTCCCACAGATCTCAAACTGGGCCAGTACACCAAGCTCCCTCCGCGATCGACCTTTGCGGCACAGATGACTGGGTCGATCGTGGGCTCGATCTTCAACTACACCAGTACGCGTTTCCACCCCTTGTCTTTAGCCTTCGAGGTAATGAGCTGGTGATGCCAGTGATGAAGTCCATCGTCACAAACAACCGTGAAGTGCTCAAGAACCCCGTCGGTACGCGTGTGGTACGTCTATGCGCCAAATATTGCGCCAGCATGTATGACTGACGTCCCCACGCGCGCAGTGGAGTGGCTGGATCATCCAGAGCTACAACTCCTCGTCTGTTGCGATGGGCGCGCTGGGGAAGGAGCTGTACGCCGCCGTGCGATCTTCTCGCCTTGGTAGCATACTGATTTTTGTGGATAGCTTCACGTATGGGAAGCCGTACTACATGCTCGCGTTCGCGATCTTCATCGGGCTCGCGTTCCCGGTGCCGTTCTGGCTCGTGCACCGATACGCGAAGAAGGGCAGCACCGTCGCGCGCGTCGCGGCGTACATCAACACCCCCATCATCGCACTGTACGTGGGGTACCTGCCGTACTCGGTGAACGGGCAGTGGTGGTGAGCACGATCGGGCGCGCGAGGAGGGAGGTGCTGACGGGGGCCCGTAGGTCCTGCGTGGTGATCGGCTTCGCGGCGCAGTGGTGGGCGCGCAAACACCGGCCGGCGTGGTTCAAGAAGTACAACTATCTGACGTCTGCGGCGCTCGACGGCGGGAGCCAGGTCATCATGTTCATTCTTGTGCGTCGCTGTGTGCTTGCGGTGGGATGTGGCGCTTGGATGTTGACGAACGGGGTTTACAGAGCTTCGCCGTGTTTGGTGCGAGCGGGAGCGCGGTGGAGTTTCCCTACTGGTGCGCGTTCACTGTGCTCACGCTATGTAGTGCCGTTCCGTAGCCTAACCTTGTATTTGCAGGTGGGGCAACCCAGAGAATCTGTCCGTGGACAGGTGTGCACTGACGGACAGCTGATAAAGGTTCTTGTGGCAGGGAAGTGTAGAGTGACTAGGGCATAGTTGTATCACTAGAAAAATATACGAATGAACGAATGATGTGCTGATGATCACGTGTGCTTTCTTGCATGTGCAGATGAAGATTGGTAGATAAGTCAAGGCGTGCCTCTTGAGCAAGTTGCAAACACGTCGGAGAGCAATGGATTTCATAATGATAGACCTGTTGAATTCGACGTTAGCAGGCTCCGGGCGGGAATGGGCGGGGCCTGGAAACAACACCCTATATTGATGAATTGTGGCTACGATGATACACCGCCGGGTCCAGCCGGGTCGGGACCATAGCCCCGATCGTTTACTCCGAGTTCCGCATCAATCCCGCTTGCGCACAAATATTCCTGTCTCGGGTAGGCTTATCGATATGGAATTAGCTGTGATGGAGGTGGGCCACAACGCGTCTGTGGCAGGCACAGGCACGTGATCGTGACACCATCGCATCTCGATCGTTTGATCGCCTTTCACGGAAGCATTGATGTCGAGGGTGGACGTGCTAACTTGTGTAGTGGGTCGACCTTGGCAGCGTCGCCGGACTGCAACCAAGACGTCATGCATCGTGTTCAATTTCACCGTCCACCATGACCAGGGAAGGGCGGTGCCGTGCTAAGCGCCGCTGAGCCGGCAGGACGCCAATACCGATATTGGGGCAGAAGGATGACCTGATTGGTGGACGAGCGGCATTGCTATGCTGCCAGCTGGCGTGCGAGGATCTGTCGTGGCCACGTGGGGCGGTGTGCGGCGGCATGGGTGCTGAGCAAGGCACTTGGCCTGCAGCGCGATGCCACCACGCAGCCAACGCGGGCAAGGACGGGCGGCGAGCGTGCCACCAGGCCAGAAGTGCGCCGGATGCGGCAGGTGTAGCGGCGGCACGGTGGGAGACGATCTTTTTCGCGATGGGGTGCACATTGCTGACATGATCTGAGCCAGGACGAGCCCAGGACGGCAGCTCCCTTGCCAAATCAAGGCGGACAGGCCGCGGGATGGCAGCTCGCGCTCTCGGATCGGAACCCGCCGTGCTCCGACGACGCTTCTCCTGGTGGCGTCCCCGCAACGTATAAGAGCAGCTCCTCGCCCCTCCCCCCCGTTGCTGCCTCTTCGTCCCAACGCCCTCCACCAGCCCGTCTTGGCCCCCACGCTACCTCTCCACCGCTATCTGCAGTTTCTACGCGCTACATTCCCGGCTCCAGCAAGTCCAGCACTTTCCGCGTCGTGTCGTAAAAGCGATTACAGTTATCACTCGTCATTCTATTTCACATTGTACTTTGCGTCTTCCTTAGCAGTCCCAAACCTATCTCCCCGTATCCTTGTCTTACTTTTTCCTGCATCGATCCCCACTCAGCTATAAGTCCACCGCAATCGATATCCTCAGCTTTCTACCTACAGCACCATGCACACTTCGCAGCCCAGCTCCCCGCAGCGTCTCTCTCCCGCAAGCTCCTCTCCCCACTTAGAAAAGCACAGCATCTCGCAAGCAAGTACTCCCCTTTCGCTGTCTACCACGCCTCCTTCTCCGTCTACGGACTCAAATTCCTACGCGTCACCTCGCATTCTGCTCACACCATCCGAGTCCTCGTCACCATCCATCATGGCATCTCCTTCTGCACCATCTGCAGACGAACGAACGCAGCCTCCTCCGTCCATCCTCTCTGCCACCGCGCCAAAATTCCAAAGCCGTTTATTCGACGCGCCTATTGATATACACACGCTTGTGTCGGACACCCCTCCTCCGGGGCGGGACCAGTCAATTTCTGCCCTTGTCACAGGACTGCAAAGTGTCCATCTCTCTACTCCCAGCTCCACCACGCCGGTAAGCGTTCGGCTCTGCCGCATATATCCGCACATTATTCAAATTGCACCAGGCGCAGCTCTCTTCCACGGCGAAAAATCACTCAGACGTGCAACCGACCGCGCCTGACCAACATGCGGCTGATCCGTGTACTCCAAATGTGTACATCAACGGTCTCCCCCCCAATTTTCCGGAGGCAGATTTATACAAAATGACGTGCGATTTCGGCGCCGTCGTCAGCGTGCGCACGTTCACGCGGCATGTGTGTGATAGACCTTCGTGAGTAATACCTGCTTCCGTTGTATTCCGCGTGGACAGTAGTTGTCGGCGTCATGGTGGCTATATGCGTAGTTAGTTTTCAAAATTGTACGATCGTGATGGCGGGTTCCTCTGGCGATATAGTCACAGAGAAGTAGATGTATACTGGCGGAGACGTTTCCTCGTCGTTGCTGACCCGCTGAGGGCAATTTGGTGTTCGATGTATACGAGGAACTAGCGCTGTCTATATTTTTCTCCTCCTCAACGCATACGATCATATGTGCACACGCTAACATTTCTGTCTGTCCAGCGGCTATGGATTCGTCCTGTGAGTTTAGTTTACATCCGTGCGTGTGGCAGTCGGTTGATTAAAGTTCGTCCGGAATAAATTAGATTTGAGACGGTTGATGCGGCAGAAAGGTGTATTGAAACCCTTCGCAAATACCGCAACTTGCACCCTTCCTTTGCGAAGGTATGATGTAATCTATCCGTCGTTGATCATGATGCTGAAGCAAAAACCCTTGCCAGCAAATTCACAAGATACCCGGTACCGTCTACTCGACATCTTCTTTCGAGCCGCCCGCCAACGATTCTGTCGATGGCCAATCTAGGAATAGCTTCAAAGCGCGGATGGAGCAGCTCAAGGATACTTCGTCCACCAACCTGTACATGGAGGGACTCCCGTTATCCACTGACGAACGTGCTCTCTCCGCACTTGTGGAGCCGTACCGGATCATGAGCAGTCGATTCTTTCGGACAAGACTCAACAATCCCCCGAGGCTGATTGCATTCGTGAGGTTCGTCCTAGCGATGCGTTTGTGTGATTGGAACGTTGGCTTATGGCTTTGGCGATCCGTAGACTGGAGAGTCGTGTGGCAGCCGAGAAGATCATCGAGCGCCTGCATGGTCGTCATATCCGTGGATGGCAGGAGGATGGATGCAGGATCTCGGTCCGTTTCGCCGATACAAGTGAGCAGAGAGATTTGAGGGTGAGTATCCCTCAACCACATGATCTTCCTCCGTAACTCTTGCACTTGTGCGCGTTGCACAGTCGCTCCCTATGTATCGAATCCACCATGTTGATCTGATCCCCCCTTTCTACTTTACAGCGAATGGAACGCATGACGCGTGAAGGTGATCAATCTCCGGCACGCATCACCATTGCGCAGGCGGCGCTGCTCAACCTGAAGGGCACGCAGCTTGGCCCTACGCCTTCGGGGAGCCCAGATATCAACTACTTACCGATTGGCCTCCCTGCCAAGTCGCCCTACATTATCAACGGGTTGGGCGGCGGTAACGTGGGCGGCGCTTTCTCTCCTCTAGCTCGTGCCTCGCCATCATTGTCATACTCAGACCATATCAATCCTCTCCTCAACAGCATGCAGGACCTTACTCTCATGCCTGGCAGGCAGCACTTCGAAGACTTCAATGATCGCGCGGCACAGTATCTCGGTCAGGACCTCAGGATGAATCAGCTCGCACTCCAGGACGAGCTGCTGGCTCTACAGGCAGCTCAGGCTCAGCTCCAAAGCGGCAGGGGCTCGGATGTCAACAACATGTCTGGCCGAGCCGACAACGGCTTTACTCATATTGAGCGTTTGCTGCTGCAGGCGCATGCTGAGCGTCAACAGGCGCAAGAGCTCTTGCTAGAGGCCGAGCGTGAGCGAGATCTCCGGGATCTGCTCCTCAGCCAACAGTACGATTTCGGAGGCGCCTCGCAGCTAGGCGATATTGGAGATGACACGCAGAGGCGTCTCCTCAACATTTTGTCGCCGACGTCCGAGAACGACTTCCATTCAGGCTTTAGCACGAGCCAAGGCCTCCAGGTGCCGAAAGGCTACCCGTACGAGCTCAATGCCCACGGGGCCGCTGGCGGTCTTGGTGCTGCCCCGGCTGCCGACTATCATTCACGCTCTTCGCCGAACTTCAGTCAACAACCCTCTGCGGCACGCCAGGAGCGCCAGCGGAACCAGACGCACGCATCGCACGCGCGCGCTGAGACGGATGCTCCTGCGCAGGCCCTGCACACACGCTCGACGACTCTTCCCTTACAGTATCTCAGCTCTCGCGGCGGCTCTCATCATTTCTTGAACACGCCATCTCAGAACTTCAGTCCTAGCACCCTCAACAGCAGTATCATCGACACCCGCAGCACTAGCATCAACAACACCACCTTCAATCTCGATGACAGTATCGACTACGTCAGCAACAGTAATAATTCGGCCCGCACCGATAGCATACTCCGCAATAATCTCGGCCAGAAGAACGTGTCCTTCTCCGATGCCAAGGGACACGCTGTATCCAGGCCCGAGCTCGCCACCGCCAACTACACCTTCATGATGACTGGTTCTGCACTGTCCTCGGGACGCGCCGGCGGCGCCAGTCAGTCCGGCATCAACGGGAAGCGCACCTTGCAGGACGTCCAGACGGATGAGGATGATTCGCTCGTTTCGCCCGCCCTTACGTACTCGCCGCATACCACCGCGTCCATTAGTCCCGCTACGCCATACTCTGGGTTTTTCCCTCCAGCTGAGGGTTTCGACGGCTCGTACGTGGTCGAGGGTCGCCTGTCGGGCGTGGTCGAGAAGCAGAAGATGCGCGCGAACCAGTAGAACCTACGCATGTAACTTGCACGGCCCTTTATAGAACGTTCGAAAGCGACAATAGATTGTCCAAAGTGTAGCGCGGCACGTTGACGCGTGGCAATAAGAAGGTTGCTGAGAGTTTGAACTCGCAAGGCAGGGTGACGTCCTCGAGGGCGGTATGCTTCGCGGGACTCGCGCTGGTCGGGCCCCAGGTACAGATATGGTGGGGGGAGACCACAACTGCCCAGACGTCTTTTGCTCGGTGGCCGGGTGCGGCATCAAGACAGATGGCCGCAAGGCTGATCCTTCGCTGGCAGCAGTATGGTGAGCCACGGATACAGTACTAAGTTCATATCTTAAACCCAGATGTGCATGCGCATATACAAATCCATGATGCACACAAAGTACCGGCTAAACAAGCTGTTGACTTCCGCAATTCTCAAATCTCCCGGATCAAACACGATCCACATCTATGCTATTCGAGTCCTGTCGCTACTGACTAGACATAAACGCTCATCTCCACGCAATGATGGTAATTGAATGAGACTTTGGTTGAACTGAATATCTGAGGTGCATTAGGGAAAGCCTCGTCTCACTCATAGCACTTATGTTTCCTTATTAATTTGCCACAAATAGAATATTTGAAATGATATTGAATCCTAATATGGGTAATTCCTCCATCTATCTCACTTGTGGCAGACCAATAAGTATTCTGGCTCGATGCAGCAAACTATGTGCCGTACTTTCTGATGTCCTGTACATATCATACTTGCGTGCCTGACAGGCTCGTCGAGCGCTCAGTGGGCCATATGCGTATTGGAAATTGTGGCGTCTCACCACTACGCTTCGGATGTTTCCGTAGGTAGGCCGCACTTTGTTCATTCTTACATCTAATTCCAAAAACTCGTATCGATAGATCCACCTGAGAACATTTGTGCGCAAGCGGGGTTGATGCGGAATTCGGAATTGATACTCGGGACCTGGACTCGGCAGAATATCATCACAGCCACAATTTACCGAGGCCGTTGTTTCCAGGACCCCGCCGGTTACTCACACATCGGGCTCAACAGGTTTAATGAATCAGCTGGCAATACGGCGATATCAAACTTGCAAAAGGGAAGTACATAGGCGTTATCTTCAACCACATAAAACCCACGTACCCATCGGCTAGCTCGTACCCCACACAACGATGCCCCTCATTAAACTTCCTTTCCTTGCTATCACCACACTAGGTATCTACACTAATTTCACACCGCCTCAGCCCAAGCCAGATGCAAGCCTGCTGGCACCGAACATGACTATTTTCGAGCGAGCCTTCTCGGCGGTCGCACGGTTGTACATGGGTAGCTTCAAGGTGCTGTCTATTTTGTCACCTGTAGCTTGCCAGTCCTGTACTGATGTGCAACCTCATGCCGCAGCTCCTGTTGTGTTCGGGGGTCGTGTTAGAAGCTGCCGTAATATTCGCCGCGAAATACCCAGCCGTTCCCATCTCAGGAGCGATTCTCAAGCTCTTAGTCCACGGACCGCCCTCTCTCACAGCCAAAATAGGTCTCTCCCCTGCGTTCTTGGTAGGTTTCAGCATGGTGACGCTAGGAAGCTACACCCGATACCGCTGTTACCGTGCCCTCGGCCAGTTCTTCACGTTCGAGGTCACCATGAGCGGAAACCATCGGCTCATCACCGATGGGCCATACGCATACGTCCGACACCCGTCATATACAAGTGCAGTTGTAACCGGCATCGGCATCGGTATCAGTCTTGCCAGCGCTGGGTCGTGGTTTAGAGAGTGCCGGGTTGTTGATACGATGTGGGGCAAGGCCACGATGGTTGTCTACTTGGCCGCGACACTTTTGGGGGTCGGAGTTGCTGTCCTGCGCCCTGCGGCGGAAGATGTATTGTTGAAGGAACGTTTCGGGCCCCAGTGGGATGCGTGGGCACAGAAAGTGCGGTACAGATTGATACCATACATTTACTGATATAAACTCAATCCGGCCATCATCTACTCACACGCCAATATGTTGACAGTACAATATGATAGTCCTAGACATGAATCAAAATTGAATGACTCCTAGATATAACGAGCACGGTAACCAGGATTGAACAATACACACAATCTTCTGAATGGAAGAAAACGTCCGCCAGGGGGTGCCTTTTCGACGCCCTCCTCACGGGCACAACCTATGGAAGCAGTAAATGAGACGTCTGTAACATATGGCATCCGCGTGCCTCGTCCTAGATGAATGTATGAGACAGTTATGCAGCCTGAACGATGGATATAAGACAATAGAACACCCAATTGTGTCTTACAAAATTTAGATTTTAGCCTGCGCATGTTGAAGGGAGTGTCTATTCTGCTATCGAGGGATAGGCCGGTTTCTTCGCAGCTGTTCTATGCCATCTCAATAGAGCGGAAATAGACAAGCCTTCCGCGCCTTCCTATTCACAACAGACGTCGCACGATGAAGTCTCGTTCATGCATTCATTGATAGGTTATTAGCCAGGCACAGACCTATTCATCACACCGTGGTATACAAGTACGGCTTCACAGATAAGCTGGGGAAATAAAGACAGTGTCAGTGAAGTTACAAAGGGAACGGCAGACGCGTTGGCAAAACCATCCTGAATATGTGGGCACGTGATGCGGGTGCCATTTCAGGATGGATGTTCGCAGCAGAAAGTCAGGGGTGATCAGGGTCCTAGCTGCTTGAACTCTAATTTCACAATCGTCCCGAGCCTCCCAGCGTCGTGCTGAACGTCGTCAACACCGCCAACATCAACAGGGTAAGCCATCTATAAAGTGAGTGTCTGTCTGAAGTTATGCTTTCGCGATGTTCCTGGTCCGGGCTGGTTGCATGGGAATCGCGAGAAGGGGTGGATGGGAGGCGCAGAGTTTAGATGACGGACGACATACTGACTGCTTGTCCTCTGCTAGATGCCTCTCCAGGAATACCAGGTCGTCGGGCGCCATCTGCCCACCGAGTCCGACCCGACTCCCAAGATCTACCGTATGCGCATTTTTGCGCCCAATGAAGTCGTCGCCAAGTCGCGCTTCTGGTACTTCCTGAGGTACGTAGTCCGAGGCGTATCATCGTGCAAGTTATAACTCTGGTGCAGGCAACTGAAGAAGGTCAAGAAGGCCAGTGGAGAGATCATTGGCGTCAACGTTGTGGGTAGCCCTTGCAGCCGTTCAAATGGCAGGCGGAATGGGAGCTGACCGGCGCCGTCCTGGCGTGTCCGTAGATCCACGAAAAGAAGCCCCTCAAGGTCAAGAACTTTGGTATCTGGCTTCGCTACGACTCCCGCTCCGGCACGCACAACATGTACAAGGAGTTCCGCGAGCTCAGCCGTGCTGACGCTGTGAAGGCCCTCTACCAAGACATGGCTGCCAGGCACCGTGCCCGCTTCCGGTCGATCCACGTGCGTTTTGCACTGTTATTGTGTATCTGCGAAGAACGTCTAATATCTCTGCTCCCTCAAGATTCTCCGAGTTGTGGAGATTGAAAAGACTGAGGACATCCGCCGCCCGTACATCAGGCAGCTGCTCACGCCCAAACTCAAGTTCCCGTTGCCTCATCGCGTGTCCAAGGTGCGCTCGACCTTCGTCGCGCACCGCCCGGCAACTTTCTAGTTTGGTGCTGTGCCGTCTTATTGCTTTGTCCGTGCCCTCCGTGGGACGTCGTGGGGCGTACTGTACTATCATGCACTATGGTATTATGACCAATATACTCATGTGATGGACCCCGCAACGTGTGCAGCACCCAAGGTTCTCAACGCTACTGTCTGTTGAACCTCGAGCCCAGGTCGCTGCGTCAATTCGTCTATTGAGATGACCGAGGAAGAGTATGTGAGAGTCGATATAGTACGTGAAGCTCGTAATTGCCCTTCTCGAAGGACACTGGTACATGGTGCATGACGGACCTCGCAAATGCTCAGTGAGAGCACAGGTCCTACCAATAGACAGCGCGACAAGATGATTCACTGCTCATAATGTTTAGGGGTCACAGCTCGACAGGCAAGCAACCGCCATAGGTGAGAACCGTTGCCTGATTGCCTGTCCTATAGGCAGCTTAAGCGACGAGCACAGGACGAACCCTTGCCAAAAGCCATAGCTACGTACCCATAACGAATCGCAAACTTCAAGCTGACCATTAACGTTGATAATGAGACCGTGTCCTCGTCTGCACAAATAGAAGCTTCAAAGAAGCCGTGCACGCGTTGATAGATAGGCGAATGGGAAACGAACACCGCAACAGAAAGATCTCCTCCTTGAGTACACATTTTGCCCGGTGCTGTTCTTCACGAAATGGTCAGATGAGTTGTTGTCGTCATATCCAACCAAAAGGATTCTGATCGAGGGCGTTCTTGTACTATTCAAGTCTGTGACATGATTGGTACGGCTCTCTCAGTGCTATCAACTTTTGCTGGAGCACCTCCCAGTCCAAGCAAAAACAAAAGGGAACTCTCCCTCGTGACCAGGCAGGATCTGGGCGCCTGAATGCGTCATGCGGTGTCTCTGTTCTCTTCCCGCAAACACCAGATTGTGTGATGCCAGCAGCAAGAGATATGATACAGCACATTCTGAAGCACGCCGACTGGCATTTACACGGTCCCGAAGCTATCAATGGAGAGACCAGACACCGGAAAAAGTGGCCGACAGTGGACAGTGAAGGGGGGATCAGTGGACATCACTCGATCTCGCAGTGCGGAGGGCGGGGGCTGGGAAGAGACACGTATGGGCGTCCCGTAGAGCAGAGAGACCGCATATATGGCATGCACGTTGTCATGGTACGCTTGTCAAAGGAAAACAGCAAGCTATGACGCTGATTGGCATATACAGCGTGTTGGAAATTGGCGTGCCAGCGTGAGCACACACCGCACGAAAGCGTTTGTCCTGGCGAAAGGGACGGGCGGCAGTCGCCACAAACGCCTTAAGAAATGGAACCCCAATCAGTAAATAACGTTTGATCTACCTGCGGAAAGGTCCGACCTAACTTCAAATAGACAGCTGCAGACAGCGGCATGCTCTCACGCTTTCTCTCATGTTCGCTCATGCTGGTCCCTCCCGGACCCGTGCGCGCAGCGCTGTTCAAGCACCGGTGAGAACTAGACATCTGGTGCATTTGCTGCTGCAGGAAAAGCGAATTAACAACATGGTCACAAGGGAAACATAGCTGCTGACTTCGAGGTCGCATTTCAACTGGCTGTGGAGGAGACACGGAGGCAGTCATTGTTTGAACAAGATCGTGCTCTTGCCGTCAGACTCAGCATAATCGACGACGATGATGTAGTCTTTCCGAAGTGAGAAGACCATCGTCGTTGAATGATTCGAGGGCGATAACATTCTGTCACAGCGCACAGACTACCGTCAACAATGGCCATCAGATAGACGGTCATGACAACACTCACGGTACGAATGTCTCGGCAAGCCTCTCTGGACAGCGTCAGGGATCGGTGGCCACGCGTCGGTCAGTTTCAGTCTCTCGTACGTCTGTGCATTTCTGACATATAGCCACAGCCGGGACACTGGGCATATTTGTGTGATCTGCACTGATCCCATCTATAATGACGAAGTTCGTGCACCATGCGGAGACTATTACGACAGAGAATGCATCGTGGCGCTGTTCGAAGCAGCGGTGCGGGACGAATCGCTCTTCCCGCCACGCTGCTGCAGGCAGCATATTCCCCTCACATTAGTCCATCGTTTCCTGAGCGCCGCGCTTGTCAAGCTTTTCCACGAAAAGACGAAGGAATTTGGGACGCTCAAGCGCATCTACTGCGCGAACTCGTCCTGCAGCCGCTTCCTCGGCGCGCAGGTCGAGGGCGCGTTCTCGCGCTGGCTCTGGCCGACATACAAGTGTCCTGCGCCCCGTTGTGGCACGAGCACGTGCACCAACTGCAAAAGCAAGGTGGTCGGGCGCAGGCACCGTTGCAGCACAGACGCAGACCGCGCCGTCCTCGCACTGGGGGAGACGCAGGGCTGGGCGCGCTGCCCGGGCTGCGAGACGATGATCGAGCTGAACCATGGGTGCTTCCACATGACGTGCCGCTGCAAGACGGAGTTCTGTTACGTTTGCCAGGCGAGATGGAAGACGTGCACATGCCCACAGTGGGACGAGCGGCGGCTGATGGTTGCTGCAGAGGCGCGTGCAGATGCCCAGCTCCGCCGCCGGGAGCCGCCGCCTCGTCCCCAACCTCGCGCACCCGTCGTTCCTCAGCAGCCGCAGCGCCCTGCTACTCCTGTCCTACCCCTGATCCCACCGCGGCTGCAGCCGCGCCAGGCGGTGGCACGTGCAGCCCAGGAGCTCGCAGGTGCAGCTAATCGTACCGGGCTTGCTGTGCTTAACACTACTAGACTTGTGGCTGAACCTCTTGCGGCGCTTAGACTTACAGCGTCTCGCCCGGCCTCGGTTGCTGCCCCTTCTACTGCTGGTGGGAGAGTGATACACGCTGCCTCTCAGACCACGCCTTCTGTACGCTCTTCCGTACTCTCTGACGTGCGTTTGCCCGTCGGAACTCCAACCCGTGCGGACGTCCCGCCCGCTCGGCGTAATGAGGTCTTCCGGGCACCGGAGCCATCTGGGTCAGCGTTAAGGGCCCCTGCTACGACTGTGGACAAACAGCCCGAGCAAGCACGAAGCCAGGCACGCCTCGACGTATCCCCCAGATCGCCGAGCGCGGCGCCGCGTGCTCCTGTTGCCAGCGGAAGTCAGAATCAGGCCCGTTCCACTCAGAGGGATAGTTTGGTGAGGCAGTGGATGGATCGCCTCAGGGTCGATCACGACTGCCAACATGACAAGTGGAACTATCGCCATGGAGGGGGTCTGTGCGAGATGTGTTCCTGCAGGCTCCCGCGGTATTTGTTTGTGAGTAGTCATCTTCTCTACGTGTTTACAAGTTAATTTGTGTTTGACAGCGGTGCAATGGTTGTGAGATGCTGGCTTGCAACCGTTGCCGAAAGAATCGACTGTGATCGTGCTAGGAATGTAACCAACGTCTTGTGTACTGCAATTGTCTGCTGATGATACGGACTGTGCGGTATCTTGTTGTACGACTACACATTTCGTGAGACGCAGGGAGATACTGATAGATACAACCGTTGCCGAGTGTGTTGTTGTCGTTAAATGATCGTCTGCTGTCCTCATACATGTAGGGCTGGAATCAATGAGTATGGGAGAAACTTGACCAATTATGCATAATAGCAACGAGACTGGACTTATCATACAATCTTCCTGACATCTATATTGAATGCTATACGCACTCCGCTCGGGTAGGCAAATGATTGTGATGCAGCACGACAAAACCGCGCGCCTGTCATAAGTACTGTATAGATAGTCTGTTTGTATAAGTAAGCTGTTCGCATATGAAGATGGCATGGCTCATGAACAGCGGAAAGATCGGGAATGCTTCACATTCCGAGCACGGTTTCGTGACGTGATAACTTCCTAGCGGTTCGAGTCAATCTCACGTAGAATGGGCGCTCCTTCTGGCGTCTGTGAGACTGCCGTGCACTAGTCATGGAACCTCGATCGATGTGCCAGCACCCATAGCCATGGATATCAAGTTCTCTCGGTCTCCACTCTCGTCTACCAATGCCCGGAGCAACCCGTTTTTGATCTGTAAAAGCTCACTAGGCTTTCCAAACTCGACCTGTGTGTATGATGAGACGGGTGCAACGTGAAAACCGTGTCGGCAGGAACTCACGATGTGTCCAGCATCGAGGACCATCTACGGTTGTGCTGCTCAGCGTCAGAAATGGCGAGAACGATGCACCACCCACTATCTTGTCTGCATCCATGATCGTCTGAAGACGGTGTGCGATTGTCAGCACAGTGACACCCTTGTCGAGTTCTTTGCGCAGTGACGCCTGTATGACGGTATCGGTCTCATAGTCTGCACGACGCACGGCTACATCAGGGCCGCACAGGTATATTGACGCGATGGATGGTGCTACTCACCTATAGCAGATGTCGCTAATTGCGATGTCAGCCATTATCGCAGATCTTGTTTTATCACGAGATTGACATACCTTCGTCCAGGATCAATAGCTTACTCTGTCGTACAATCGCCCGAGCTAACGCCAGAATTTGTTTCTGGCCAAACGAAAGGTTATTACCTCCGCTAGCTATCTGGGTATCTAGAGTGATTTGGCCTTCATCCGTGTATCTCTGAAGTGAGAACAAGCCTGCGGATCGAAGGGCGTCGTTCAGCACTGCGTCGTCAAGCTCTTCGAACGGGTCAAGATTTTGTCGCAACGTCCCACTAAGTAATTCAGGCTGTGAACAATGGGTATGAGAGAGAGAGCATGGCCATGAACACAGAGAGGCTGACCACTTGCGGTATGATCGTGATGTGCGATCGAAGGGCGTCGAGGTTGATGTTTTTCGTGAGTAGACCATCGTAGTATATCTGGCCTTCTGTGATTATGCACCACAGCAATGCGAGGGTCAAGGAGCTCTGCGGGAAATTTCAGTCACAACATGACGGATGGGGTGCGTATGCTCAGGTACCTTTCCACTCCCAGTACGACCCACTGCCATGTATCAATCAGCAGTAGTCAAGAAATATCAAGTTTAATGATCTCACCGACGCCCACACGCTCTCCAGATTTAATGTCGAACGAGATCTCGTGGAGTACCCGAGGTCCATCCTAAAACGATCATCAATGACAAGACGATGTCACGCATGTCTCGAGACCCACCGTTGAATAACGAGCGGAGAGCTTTTCAATCCTCAAATTACCGCTGGAGGGCCAATATGCGGGAGGTAGACCGTTCTCAGTTGACTTTGGTTCCTGTTCAATCTCAAGATATTGCTGTATGCGTTCGAGACTATAACACAAACGTCGGACATATTCCACGCGTCATGACTGCGGGAAGCATACCTGTTCCCTATGTTACATGAAGAAGTTAGCATACGAGGAGAGTTTCTTGTAAGGCAACGGACCTGCGACCTCAAAGTCGTTGAAAAGTCTTGTGAACCATAATATCATGGACGCGAAGCCAACTTGACGACAAAAGTGCTCAATTAAATCATAGACGAATCTTTTCCTGCATACGCACCTGCCATGTTAAGCGTGAAACCTGTATTCGCTGCGGATGAGTTGCCGCCCCCGTACACGAGGTAGAAGGCAAGTCCGGTGGAGAACATGGCGCCAAAGAACTCGATGCGAATGTTTACCCAGCTGGTTCCATCAGCTTCATCATTCAGATTGCATAACACGTTCCTTACCGAGTCAGAACCCAGAATATCCTCGCAGCTCGTGAGTACTTATCGATTCGCGCATATGACTCCTTCCTGAAGGCATCTTGGGCACCGTATGCACGGACAGACACTGCACCATTGCTCAGTCGAATAAGATAAAACGAAACTGCTACACCCACCAAGCCCGGTGAAGACAGCGCCGAAATGTCCGAGAACTGGCGCACGTGCATTGCTCTTCTCTCGCTTCACAGATAATTGGGCCTTCATGTACACTTGACAGATGTACCCTCCCACAACAGCGAGAAAGATACCGGAAAAGATGTAGAAGGGTGCAGTGATTGTGACGGCCGCGAGCTTAATGAGTATGTTGATTGCCAGGATGATGAGGACGTCTAAGCAGGAGGAGAGTTCCGAGTCAACTGTGAAAGGAGAAATGTCGGTACTGGATCCCTGTCAAGGATTTACGATACATACTGGTGCCAATATCTTGCGTACATCTAGCGATCACACGTCCAGTAGGTGTCTTGTCCAACCATCTGCATAAAGAGTGAGTATCAGGTCAAGCATAGATAGAGTAAAAATGAAACACCTCATGGTGGTACCAAGAACCGATGTGATCAACGTATTGTGAATGATGCGTGAGGCTCTGAGACTGCCAACAAGGAAGATCGAAGCATACACGAAGTACATGATGAACCCAAGTAGCATGATCAATGCATACACGGAAAGGTGACTGCAAGCCAGTAAGATACGATACGTTATGATGCAATAGCGAACAATGCCGACTCACAATGGCACATTCACTTCCCATGGAGGATGTTCCTCGTATTGTCTTACCCAGAAACCGAGATACCAGTAGGATAGGTTATCCAACAGGTCCGAGGTGAACTCAATGCACACCGCGATTATACAGTAGAGGATGGGGCGGCTTCCGCCCATACTCTTTAGGTACAGTTTTACTGGCGCCTCATGAGTACCTGTTAGTGAGTAGCGAGCGGTAGCAGCACGTACAGGCCGGCCATCCAAGATGCCCTTCAGAAATCTCTTCAGAGACAACTAGTTTACCATTGGCCTTCATAGTATCTTCTTCGGACTGATCTTGATGAATATTTTGTTCTGCCTTCTCACGAACTTCGAGATCCTGAGCTACTTTCGCAGCTAGTGCTTGGTCGTGCTCAAGAGCATGGGACAAAGTGCCCTGGCTGGAGATCCGTCCATTGTCACGTAAAGACACAACGTGCCGCGCGATGGGTCCAGCTAAGTTAACGTTGTGTGTCTGCGATAATTTAGTGACGAGACAGTGTTAGAGACAATGTCTTTGTAGCTTACGACTAACAGCACTGTCCGATCGCGGACAAGTTCGCCTTGCAAACACTTCTCAACAATCCATTTTGCTGTGTGCACGTCCAGAGCAGCCAGAATCTAGGAGGTATCAGCCACAACCAAGTCAAGCAGTCAGAATGAATAAATCACGTCGTCAAGTAGTAGGATCTCCGCAGTTGAGTAGATTGCACGAGCTAGAGTGATTCGAGCCTGACTCGACATGATTGAGCGAGGAGTCGATCCGCTGCACTTTACGATGATTTACCTTTTGCCCTCCGCTGTGAAGAGATAAGGAGCTCGCAGGGCGCCACGTGGAGAAATAACGCAACGCACCTTAGTGTTATTCCCTTCTCTCCTATTTCAGTATGATCCCCGGCATCAAACAACTCAAGATCTCTCGTGAGACCGCATTGAGTGATCACTTCAAAACGTGGCCTCAGACACTATCATCCTGTGCGCATAAACGAGCTAGGGCAAACCTTTGTCGTATCGTTCTCGGTCATACGTTGTACCAAATAGTATGTTATTCTGGTGATGAGCTTGTCAGTGTCATTGTCATGAAATCCAATTTACAACCCACCCGGATAGTATCGTTGAGCACCCATGATTCTTGAGCCGCATACGCAACTCCTCCGGAGCGTGGCAGTGCTACAAAGGAGTTCGGTCCAGCAGGAATGTAATGCATCTCGCCTAGCAATTGCTTGAGCTAATAGTGCAGATTGGCAGAGGGCTATTACTAACCCAGAAGCGCCATGAGGAGTGATGTCTTTCCCGAACCCGTTGGGCCAACAATGAGATTGATATGTCCACGTTCGAAAATCAGATCACCGTCAATGTGGAGCGTAAAATTACGTCTCGACGATCCGGGAGTCGATGGAGGTGCCTTCGTCCAAGTAAATGATGCATTACGGAAACCTAGAGTATCGCTGGATATTGACGGAGAGGATATCCTGAGTTCTGATGCGTGAGTAGTCGAGTTCTCGGAGAATTCGTCCAATAGCTCTGTCTATGGGGAAGGTCAGACTCGTGCAATAGAAATACTGAGTTCATACATTCTGCAAGAATTCGTTCATACGGTCGAGTGACACTTTAGCTGTATTGTAGTTGCTCAGATGTAATTAAGCATTGCACAATGAACGAGCGTACCGCGCATAAGCTTGGGGATCGCGCCGAAAGTATTGTGCAACAGCTCGCGGACCATCTCGAAGACTGTTGAAGGCATCAGCGACAGACAACAGAGTGTGCAAACTGCGGTGTACCATTCATCGCAGAAAACACTGTAGATGCTACGAAAAAGTGAGCCGACTGACAATATCGCGCAAAAGAAGGCCAGTACCAGTGAGCTGTTTCTTCATGATTAAAGTCTATACAGAACGTGATCAATCGAGCAAAGATTTCAAGACGCCGACATAACACACATAGATAAGGTACGTGAAGACCATGGTGATTGGAGGTATGCTATGACTGAACTGATAGTTAGCGAACCACATATGCTTGCCGGATAGGCATGTACACGTACTTGGCGATGTTGTTGGCCACTTCCAACAGTCTCGAAGTCCTAATCCAAGTCAGCTCATCTTCACGCTTTGCACTCAGTTGTTTCGACAGGCGCGATCCCCAACCAAAAAGCTTGATCATACGGATAACGCTCATGGCTACGATATGGCGATTGCTCAGTACACCGTCCCAAGATGAATACTCAGATAGCCACCTTCGGTGACAGCCTGTACACGGGAATCTGTCTGTGTTATATACGTCAATGGCAGCAACAGAAGGACGTATATGTGTTCTCCTACCCTTTTCATCTTCTCGGCGTGAACCCCTCGGATCTTCCCTGACAGAGTCGAAGGAAGGGGCAACATGAGCACCATTAATGCCATACCGGCGAGGGCACTGAGGTGCCGCTTGTGTCAGGAAGCTTCTGAGTAGGTGCAAGCGAGCGCTAACCTCCATCCCAAGACATCGTATAGGAACCAGATGCACAAGACCAGCTGCACAGGGACTTGCACGACTTGCGCAAGCCATGTGAGCGATTGGAATAGTGATTGTGAGCCATATCGACGTACCGAACTGGAAAATATCGCGAGCCCCCGCAATTGCGTCCAGGTCTGTGGTGATCAGGTTGTTGACCTTTCCGGCTCCATTTTGATCCTTGTATTCTGTGTCCTCGCTTGGTTTAATGCTACTGCCGGAGTCCTCCTGGCTCTGCTGCACGGAAACCGTCGACTTGTCCTTACGCTGTGTCGAACTTGTTTCGCCAGCAGCGGTGTTTGTGCTACTCAAGTTACCATCATCCTCGCTGTTATTAACATCCTCGCGTGCAGGTGCGCTGCCCGATTCCGCCAAAGACACTGTATCGGGAGTACCGGCAACAGTTGTATTTCCCGTTGACATCGGTGCGTCCGAAACGTCAGCCTTTACCCGCATACGGAGAGCGTGCTCGAACACCAGCTGGGTCATGATCGCTTCGATGCGGACCAGCACCCGTTCCTAACATTCTAGCAGTTAGCTCGGAAGCGTACGCGCCGCCAGGCTTGACGTACGGATAGGAAGAAGTAGAATGATAAGATGATCACGCAAGCTGCGGGTCCCAAGAACAACCACGAGATCCAGACCCATGGCTTCACCATAGCGCCCTCCCCTCCGTTCTCCATGTACCTTCGCAAAATCAGCTCACGAAATGAGCCATACGAGGTTGAATACAAACCAGAGTAGATTTCGTATGCCAACAGGGTCAGAGAAACGCGCGACCACCTAATAGGGGTTAGAAAAAAAATAGACATCATCGACGCGATACGTACGAAGAGGAATTGCATGAGCGCCATAATCAATAGATCGCGGCCTGTGTGAATTCAATGTTTCGTTGGGTCGTTTATCTGAGGCATTCATCCAACTACTCACGAAAGACTTTCACTAGTCCCCAGACGACGTGTCGGCCCTTCACGACTTGGAAAGGATCGAGTTCCTGCAGCACGCATGCGGTCAAGACGCAGAGAGTAGCCTTGAAGAGCACGCACCTGGAGCGACTTCTGCACGAGATTGTGCGCTTGATCGTAGTCTGCTAGCGGTGGTAGCTCTTCGATAGGGAGGTGAGGTACGCGGTAGGCTTTGAATACTATTTTATCTAGCCACGTAAACATCATCCTCGATAGAACGGATGCGGTTTGCTCGGGGTGAGGTTCCAGAGAAGGATGCTGTAGCATATAGTCAGTTCACCACTCTCACAATGCAGGACGGATGTCCCATCTTACGTCAGGATCAACAGGTGTGTAACGCCGCGGAATCAACAGCGGGACGACGACTGCAGCAAAGGTGAGGTCCACCAGTTGAATCCACAAAATAACGCCCTCTGAGGCATCGAGCGGGCTGAGGGTGAAAATAGCGAGAGGCAATACATCTCGGTAGACATATACCGCCCATACCGAGAGTAATACAAGGCAAAGATGTCTATTTGCCACCGCTGCAACCGCCGACTTTGCGAGCACAGAAAGTGTGGCCAGAAGTGATGCATATAGCTAAGGCAATCACATAGTCAACCCAAGTATTCTGAAAGAGAGTGAGAACATACATATGTTACGCAGACAGCGACATACAACCAGGGCGGCGCATGACTTCTCGTCGACAGCCCTTGCATTACCGGGATCGCCGATAGGCCGACAAGTGAAACACACGAGAGTAATCTCGCAATATTGAAGGACAATATCCCAATTCCTCCGTGTCGAGCGACACATGATGCGAATCCAGACCCCCTTTCATGGCTATATCTCGTAGGGACGGCTGCTTCCTGCGCCACGTGCGAATTGGAGTTTTGTGACGCTGCAGGTCTTTTACCAAGTGTCCTTGACAGCACGAAAAGCTGCATTAACAGCAGGATGAGCGAAACCCCAGTCGCATAGAGCGGGATTATGCGAGTATCCGTAAAAATGTCTCTGACGATGAAGTATAGTATTAAATCAGCGAAATCTCAAGACACGATAAAAGGGACCCACCCGTCTTCGTCATGAGCAAGTAGAAACGTGGACGGCGGCCGTATGCTGAGGTTTGAAGTCAAAAGGACCTGAGTCGTGTCAACAGTGTGCGTGTCCAGTTGCACTACCGCATCCATGGCGCCTGAAGTCGGCGAAAATTCAGTAAACGAAAGTGCAAAAGTCTCTCTTACGAGCACTGAGAGCCTGCGTACGCTCCTTAAATATATACACGCTAGTTGAACTGATTGACATGCACTATTGAGTCACGCCGTCAGACCGTTCACATCGAGTTATCTATTGGTTGCGGGACAGGACGTCGGGACCGACGGCGCTCCAGTCCACAGTGGGGACCCCGATGACTCCGACTCCGGCTCTCAAGGCGCGTCAAATGTCTGGCAAAGGGAAGCGTCCTCAGGCACCCACAGGAATGACTGTGATTACTCTCGGTAGTACAAGGCACCTGCGCAGACATGCGCCGGCTGAGAGCCTGCGACAGTTGGGCGTTTCGTGTGGAATGTTCATGAGATCACTGGTGTGTCGGCAGCAACTTGGCGACGGCGCTCCGCGTAGAATAGGTATTGTGAAGGGTGTGAACAAAGGACCAGCTAATATATGCTGATTTGAATGACGAATCAGACAAAGTATCCAAAATACAGTATCTCGCCGCCATTGCCGCAGTCGGCTTCTACCCTCAACTCAAAGTTTTTGTGACTCTTAGTAGCTACACGGGACCAAAATATTGCAAATAGAAAGCGAGGAAGTGCGTGCGAGAGGCGGTAACTAGTGTAGCACTGGTAGGATGTCCGTGCCAGGCGGGTGGAGGGGAATAAGATTGTGGAGTTTAAGAGTTGGCGGGTATCAATTTCTGATCGGATATCACCGACTTGTGGCTGATGTGTGGCGCGGGGAATGGCTGGTACTGTGGAGTATGGGGTTTTGCAAAGTCGATCAATTTTGCAAAACACCGTGATCTCATCTTCTACCTTAAAGACTGTACTTCTGACACTTGTATGACATTATAGACATACATTGTAGTCTACTTGTGAAGCCGATTGAGGAGAAATAGATTTGTTGTGGAATGGGAGCCTTAAGACACTTTGTATGGCTTTCTGCAAATTCTTGATAAGACAGATGTGCAGTGATTATGAGCCGTTGTCCCCAATCGGACATCCGATTTAGTATGTTCCAACCATGCCTTTCTTGATCCTCCAGCCCGATATGCTGTCAATAGAATGAATCGCGCTGTGTGGATGGTTTGCAAAATGAACGTGACATTCCCTGCCAACATGCGTGATGATTCAATCCCCGCCCTCAAACGTGATTGCAGATGACACGCTTGGTCGCGCTGTTGCAGCTTCTGCCACGGCGGAGTTTTAACTTGCCGCCGTGACCCGTGAGTGACAGAGTTTGCAGAACTACCGCACTTTAGCTGCTTCCAGCCGGCACCTCTCTACTGCTCGCAATTCATCATGGATTTCCTTGAAACTTGGTATACGAACTGCCAAGACCATTAGGAATGATGCCTGATTGGTAGAACAGTAGCTATTTTGCTCGCTCGAGCACATAGGCCCAGGCATCAAAATGTTTTGCAAAACCCCGTACTCCACAGTATGATATATAACATGTCCTTTGGATGGGCCCCCCGCCTCCCGGAGACGGCGGGAAGGAGCCTGGGATCAGGGTCCAAGATCGCCCAGATTTGTCCGGGTCATGGTTCCCCCCCTATATTCGGGGGTCCTGTTTCGGTCCCACGAGCGCAAGACCCCCACTACGATAGCGCTCTTGAGCGGGTAAATCGCGACCGTCGTAGACAAGGCTGGAGGTGCCGATGCACGAGATCGAATACTATAGACAAACGAGCGTGCTGTGTATCGTTGAGACTTGCCAAGTTCAACTGGCTTTGGATGGGGGTGTGTGCCTGTGCTTTGGCTGCTTCAACCCAGCAAGCACATATGCGAGCGCTAAGCGAGCTCCTCACAGGCGCCCGATGAGCGTCTGACATCATCCGGGTCTCAAGCTTTCGCTCTACCGCATCGTGGACCGTGAGCGACACCCTCTAGCCTTCTGACGCTCTTCTAAGCTCCCGCTTCAATGTCAATACCATTCGAACGCCAGCATCCACGGCGACGAACGTAGATTTGGCAACTCCTGTCCTCACTGCTTGACATCGCTTCATCACTCGATAATGCTGGACTCTCATTTTACCTAGACATGCTCAAGGTCTCGGAACTCTACGCCTGCGTTCTCACGTATCCGTATCGGAATAGGAGAGGTCTGCATGTGAAGGGAATACGCATCAGGTCCGCTCTAGACTGTCTATGGGCTTGATTCACCCCGCGGTCCGTCGCGTTTTTACCTGTAGCGTCGCACGCCTGAATGACGTGCCATCCCCTACTCTCATCCTGTTCTCCGTCCGCCTTCGTCCTGTAGCATTACTCAAGCTGTCCAACGTCCTTGTCACGCGGGTCCCCGCTTGTAGAATGCTACAAACTCTCGTATGAGCTCCCATGCCACTGAAGACATCATCATCACAACTCCCAGTCATATACGGTGAGTCCGCAACCCTCCCTTGGATCCCTCCTCATTGTACGATAGCCGCTGGAGACAGGGTCAAGATACAATGGTACTCGGGGTCAGAGCTGACCTAACACCACAGCCGCTCTCCCTCGACGTCTCACCAAGGTCGGCGTTCACTGCGGATCGCGGTGTCCTCTTATTGTTTGCGTCCAGCAAACGTGGACTACTCCCGCAAGTCTTGGCTCCCTGACACCATGACGGGCCTGAGCGCCATCATTCTCGCGCACTATACGTTCTGCAGATATACTGGCCGCGGCGACCTTGGCGCGTCCATTTGAAAAAACCGATTGGGACACGTACCATACTTCAGGTATGTTTACTGCCTTTTCACATTCCATACTGTGAACGGCGAGGATCATTTGAACGCATGAATCTGCCCACTCCAACGTTACAAATACACTATCCCAGCTGACACTCATTGGGATCGCTCTCGCTACTCCTCATGGCGTCGATTCTGGCCGTCGAGGCCAAGCCGCGTGCCCCCTGGGATTGATTGCTCTACCTTCGTGTCTCTGTCAACGTCGTCCACTGGCTAGTCTGTCGGCCTCCCTACTTCGTCCAATCGACATTCCGACCCTATGATATTGGCTATTCTGTCCTCCCCTTGCTTCAGCACATGGGTGTTCTGTGTCGAGTGTCATGTGCCGTTAGCGTGATGGCTCGTCAAGCGCGTGCGGCTATGGCCCATATTGCAGATCGTCAGTCAATGTATCCGCCGTTGGCAACTCGGACGTTAGCTTTATTCTACATACTCTGCGCCTGGCGTTGTCGTCATTCGTTACTAGATACTACACTGGTTTAGACCCTCAGCACTGTTCTTGCGTGTGAAATCCAAACAGCTGTTTGCTCATACAATCTGGCCGTCTACAAAGACAATGCACGCCGTGTCATGGCAGAACTTCAGCGTCGTAGTGCTGCCTCGTGAGCGATTGCCTCCGCTGCATAGGTGAACGTTGCCGAGTTCGAAATGTATGCATTAGTCCGCATAGATGGGCACGTTTTCGACAGGGCTTGTGGGCGACCACGGAAGTAGGCAGACGAACGCAATTGACACCGAATATCGATGCACATCATTGATATCGAGCATGGACAGGCGTTCCGCTGGCTGACGTCATCGGGCGCTAGTCCGCCGCGGCTGTGATGCGGACGTCCTGCTGAGTTGGCACTCCCTTGGGTCTTTGCAATCCTTCGATGTTCTTCTGCTATTTCGCTAGTTATTAGAAAAGCTGGATCTGAAAACATGGTGCTGTCTCCCACTATTATCTGTATACTCCTCGATGCATGACACTAACTGGTCTCCTGGCTATTTCACGCATTCAAGGTCAATTGTTTATACTGAGCAGACAATCCCAGTATGCGAACTCCCCCTGAGCGACTATGAGAGCACTCTATTTTCTCCCAGCATCTATCCCATCTTCAAACCATAAGGCGGCGCACCGGTGCATGCTACATGGCTGATACCTCATACGCTGCCTAGACGGAGCCACGATTGGACGATGCTACCCTGCGGCGTCTCGCACACATGCACTGCATATTATCCCACATCTCCATGCCGTCCTCGTCTACTCTACAACACTGTCTCGCGCAAGCTGTTCCTTGTTTGTGTTCCCTGGACTTCATCAGACCGTGTCCACTTCTCTTAGACTCATCATTATCGTGACCACAAGCGTCATAATGCTATGCTGCGACCCCCAGAAACTCCCTTACGCGCTGAACCTACGCCGCACAGCCTCCTGACGAAATATCGGACCGCCCGAGCGTCCGTGGGTTCGAACGTACAGTATGCTGTGTTCATGCTCCACGTAGCATGATGTCCGCCGCGGGTCCGCTGCCTCGCTTGTGTCATCGTGTAACTTACAGCCCACGAGACCCAGCGGTCGAGTGGCAGGCGCATTTATGCTTCATCCTGCACAATGCGATTACTCTCTGGAGCAGTCTTCATGTCATCGCCTTCGGGCATTCTGACTCGCTAAAGGCCAGCCACAGAGGGCCATGCGCCGTGCGTCGCCTATGGCGTGCACAGCTGAGCTCGGATTGACGAGTACACCTGCTCAGTCACGACTCACGCCGTATCGGCGGCTGCTGCGGTGCACCCACTCCTTACAAACAGCGAGCCGAATACATGAGGCTCTCTGTACACCAGCCTCCGGGCTTCGATTGACATGTTACGCACGGGGCACCCTTTCGACGTTTTTGACGAGAGGAGGGACACTCCGGTGCACGGATCCTGTATCTAGACGCCTGGTCTATAGTTTTGCTCCATGATCTCGGCGGCGGACCACTGTGACTTGGCGTCCATTCATTCCTCTCTCGGCCCGCTCTTGCCCCTTGACCTCTGCTGTGCGGGAACCTCACTGAGCTCCACAAGCCTCAATTCTCTCAGCGTGTTACAAGAGACGTCAAGCCCTGCACTTGTAATGCTGCTTCTATTCGTTCTCCAATATACAACTTAGCGTTTTCGGGCTTCATCGCCCTCTCTTTCGCTGCCTTGCGTAATCTTACGTCCGCTGTCAGATGTCCACTGCCCGACTGCGAGACCGAAGATAATGCGATGATAACATGTGGGCACGGGGGGCGTACAGCGAATTCCCGTCAGGATGTGCCGAATCTTCTTGCGAGCACCAGCACAGCCTGTAGCTGCGCATCCACACAGCACCAATGTATAGTAGTATGCGGGTAGTCATACCTGTCAGCGACGAATCTTCGACTAAGCTCAGCCTGCACCGCTCGTGTACGCGCCGTAGGGGTATGGCATATATCTTCCAGGTCCTTGAAGCTGTCTGTCTGAATCCCACACCTCGTCGTCCATCCGATACTCTCTCCGTTGATATACTTGGCGCTCCTGTAAGACATGTACGACGAAAGGCCTGCAAGTGTCCCGGAGTAAGTGCTGAGCCATTTCCTGTGGTGTATTGCTCAGTATTCACCTGACACCAGGTACAGTGACGCGACCTCCGGAGACGAACCCTCCATCGAAGCAGAATATTGGTGCGATACATGCGGTCCACTGCCACGAATGTGGTATCACCCAGCGGATCTCGGACTGGATACATCACAGGAGTGGGCCCAGACGTACATCCCTTATCCCTTTGAATGTGCGGGAGATGCGGCAAGGAGAATCCGGGAGGCGCTGGAACATCAGGCGAACGATCCAGCAGGACGACGGTTCGTTATGACATCAGTTCAGTCTCAAACGCGCGCTCTTCCTCTCCTTCAACTCCAAGATTCAGCGATCCCTGACTGCAACACAAGCGAGGATCTTTCGCACGTCCAGGATGAGCAGGACGTATTCACATCACTTCGGCTCGATAATTGTGACGCGATGTCACATCCTTTCAACGCTGAAGAGGGCGGCACTGATATTACGGAACCTATGGCTCTCGCTGCGGGGACAAATTCGCTAGTCGGATCGCTAGTCGGATCCCGCGTGGATGTCTCTGAATTGGCCGTAGCGAGGAAGGACGGGGTGGACTTGTACGTGTTTATATTTCTCGTACGCCTGAGGCAATGTTCTGAAGAAACGAGCAGGATGCAAAATGTTCCTCCATCCGAATACAATTCTTCTCTCGCACCGGCCTTCATGTACAGCCAAGGCTCCATGTCGCGATTCAGCAAGCACACATCCATGCGCACTCTTGACTTGACCGTCAACTCGGAATTGATGTTGAATTCGTGAGTAGCTAACGTGCTCACGGACATGATGCTGAAAGCAAGTAAACAGATCTTCCTCGTTCAGCAATTACGCAACGGAGCCATCCGCGGACAATGCGTTCCCATCGAGCAGCCGAGAGATAATGGGAGGCTGGAGCCAGATGTATAGCTCTCCTCCACGATATCCAGAAGATGCTGTGCAGCGTACTCGCAGTACTCGCGAAAACGTACCTTTCTACCAAGACCCATCCAGCGCAGACACTATAGCAACGGTTGATGATTTCTTCAACGGTGAGCTCACATCGACTCCTTCACGCAGATCCTGATGAAATGGTGCGCATTATGCGGACATAATAGTGCATCCAGCAGAAGCGCACATCGCACAAGGTATTCCGCAAATTAAACCGTGGCAAGCACCTGCGATGTCAGAGTTTCCTTCAGGATTCACAGGGGACACCATTCGTGGTACTACTCAGTATGCAACGTATAGCGAAGCTTCCCCACAATATGGGTTCTTGGCGCCCACGTGGGGACCGAGCCTCGCCGGAACGCTCGGTATGTCCGAGCTAACGAGGGAGGACGGACATGTCCTGTTAGTCAAACCATTAAATATCTACAACGTGCTGCGCTGACAGAAACAAGGCTACCAATACACCCGCATTCGGACCCAGCTGCGAGTAACGCATCGAGCTCGACATCACGCCCGGCTCCTACATGGACACCTAATCATTGGAGGTGGCTCGAGTTCAGATTCCCCTTCACAGGTCCGGCGCTTCCTGTGGAGGTTTGGGACATGGTGCTTGACTGCCTTGTCGGTGCGGAGCCTTGGGAGCTTCGCAGGCTCTCACTCGTTCGCAAGCACTGGTGTACCAGGTGCAGACCCTATCTGGTGCGGAACATCGTGTTCAACAACCGAGGCGATGTTCTTCGCGAGCATCGGACAAGACGTCGCGATTGGGCAGGGCCACGCTATGTGACTATCGTAGGTACAGAGAACACGAGGTCGCTCAGCCACCTCGGCTTTGTGGCAGCCCTGTTTGGTCCCAGGTGGCCGAACGTGCGCCACGTGGTTATCGAACATGGGAACTGGCGGACGGGCGACTTCCATCAGGACGTATTCCATCACCTGCATACCTTGCTCAGGTATATTCAATTTGTGAGAATTCACGATGTCACGTTTCCATCGGGTGCCATTCTTCGCGGCCTCGCCTCCCAATTACGGTTTGTCGGCGATGATAACCGGTACCCGATGGTCGCTCTCGCACAAGTAAGGTTTGAGGACGCATCGATGCCTCCCACCTCCCTCTCATGGGTACGTAATCGCCATCGTCCCGGTAACGGTGACTATGCAGTCGTTACATATCAGCTTGACGACTTGGATGCCACCTCCCTTGATGTCATCGCATATTGGCTGCTTGCCGCTCCGGACAAGGATCATGAGTTGTTTGTGGAGACAGCACTTTCATTTGGGAATCTCCACGATACTGCCCCGCGCATCATCCCACTCCTCAAGGCGGTTGGAAATCGCGTTGACAGGCTAATTGTGCATGTTGATCGGAGCTTAGGTAGGAACATCCATGCCATGTATCATATCTCTGTGCTGATGCCCCCCAGCACGACATCTGTCCCTCCCTCAATGTCCAAGTCTACTCGCATACGACCAGCGCATATACGAGCTGGATCTGAGGATACATGTCCAAGAATCCATGTCCTATGGATGGCTCCTAAGGGCAGTCTCACGCATTCCGACGCCAGAAGGTCCCCGGATTCAATATCTTGACCTTCACTTCAACATCGATGTCCACCTCAGTCACGGGAACATTGTGCACAAAGGCCCCGAATGCGAGGGATGTGCCTTGCATCCAACACTGCCTCGATCTCTTTCCGGACCGGGGGTGCTGGATGACATCATGGCGAGCCTGAAGACTGTCTGTGATGTGTTGGATCGTGTCTTACGCAAGAGTGGGGAGTTCTATTTCTGGGTGAAGATTGAGATATGCTGCTGTGCTCAATTCGACCCAGACATCTGGAAGCCCAGACTTCGCCCATGGTTCCCGAAGATCAGAAAATCCTACGCATTGTTTTCCGGAATCTAGTGAGCATCACTTCTTAGACACTATTATATGCATTGATGATTGCTCTTGAATAGTTACAACAGAAGTGGAAAGTCCATTGACTATGGACCGGGACTGGGCCTCTGGTGCATGCATTGCGACGAACCCCTCTGGACCGACGTGGATGAAGAGTCGAGTTAGGCGTTCTACATAACTGTCTCACTCAGGTTCGCCACAGTTCGCAGGAGTCGCACAGCGATTTATACAAGTATATGGTACCCAGCAGAGCACGCCTTTAGCGTTGAATTGCACGGGCACGCAGTCCGTCGCGCAGATCGCTCAAGCATGTTGCCAAGCCGGACAGCTACGGCACTCCGTTACCACAGTAATAACATCCCTCTGTTCGCACTCCTTGCTACCGCTGCTGCCGTTCGAACAATTCCACCGGAGCGCCGTGACGACCATCATCTGACCGCCCTCTCTGTATGCGTGGCATCCGCTATCGGAAATCGTCAATTTCTATCCCGCCTTCAGCTTCCCCTTCCAGACCTCGTACCGCTATTGCTCAGGCTTCCACCCAGTGCCATCTCTACGCCCTTTGCGTCGACCTCCTGCTCGCGATGCAGCATACCCTGCGATCAATCCTGCGGTCTGCGCGCCTGTGGGCAACCTGTCCGTCCAACTATCCGAGTCGCCGGGCAGCCAGCGGCATTCTCAGGGGTGCAAAAGGACTGTCGCCGTAGGAGTGGATATTTGATACGATTCCGTCAGCCTTACGTCTCTGATTTTGCTCGATTGCTACCTGAGCCTGCAGATTCCACATCGTGTCCGGCTTAAATATGCCGAGCCTCTCTATATTGTACAGGCTTACATCCATGTATTCGTCGAATAGTTCCCTCCAGGAGACAATATGCAGGACGGTCGCGGAGGAGACGAGGGCCTGGCGACACTGCACAAAACCACAGTCATAGTCATATTCGTCGAGAACCAGTTGAGCTGGTGGTAAGTGATCTACATAGACCTCTAGGATATACGCTGCGGAGGTCTCATCCAGTCGCAGCCCCAAGGCATCATGGTTTCGGACAGATCCACGGGATCGGATCGACGATGGCGGAACGGAGGCACTTCATCGCTCCAAATGTTATCTTGGACTTGGCACAAGGCAGCCCGTAGAAGCAATATGGGCCAGTAGACGGAAGCCATGGAGATGCAGGCGCATGCACGCACGCGCCGCGGAGTGGCTGCATCGAGCATGTACGCGGGACGATAACCTCTTAGAGCGAGAGAGACGTGAGGAGATGGACGGGCCCCAAGGCACGACTGGATGGGAGACTTTGTCGTCGTGGACGACGTTGGATGCGACGGCGCACAACAATATGCGATCGGATGACACGGATTGCCTACTGGAAAGAGCAGGACAGAGCATGCCAAGCTGTCGATTCGCGCCGGAGTGCACGACTAAAATACAGCCCAATAGATAAGACTGGCGTATACACAGAGACAGTCAGGGCTATCGTCCAGAGTCAACGAAACGAACACGGTTAATATAGCTCGCCGCAGAGGAGCCTGTTCTATCCAGTGGACATGTGAGGCGGCGGTCTTTATGAACATGCCATATGTGAGTACTGCACGGCGAGCGTGAAGGGAGGCTAGCAGACCGGCGCTTGCCGCCCGTCCAGGCGAGGTCATCGTTTCTCAGCGCTTAGCTGGCGCCTTGCCCCGTTGGTGACCCTGCCTTCCAGCTCGAGACGTCTATCGTTCGCGACTCCATTTTCCTCGTTCTCGGTATGGTACTCGCAGCGTCGCCTACTACGCTGGGGTTCGCATCAGGATACTTCTCTGAACGGCCCTGCGAACCCTCCGGTCCATTCAAAGTAAAGTCTTTGTTAGAGCGGAAGGATCTGTTCAGATGGCGGATGTACCACATCCCGGATGAGGGAATTACGCATCGGTACGTCGTATATTACAGGTGGGCATCGTCCGTCCCATCGTTCATCGCACCAGCACGTTTTCGCACTCTTCATGTTGCAACGAGCTCGCGCACGCCGTTATAGTCCGGCAGACTGGTCCTTGTGGTCCACATCATGCGGAGCGTCGCGCTCATGTATTGCGTGCCAACCCAGGCTTCCCCATCTCCTCCCTTTCGTATTCCTCCCTCGTGAGAGCTGTGTAAATCCCTCGTCATACGAATATTCAGTGTCACCTCCTCCAAGACTGCGTTTATCCGCCTGAAACGCCTTACCATCAGGGCCGTTCAACAAAGTCCAGCAACCACCGCGCTGCTCGTGTCGTTTGTCTCTCACATTTCACTATAAGCTAAAAGCGAAACGCGCTGACAGGTTCACCGGATAGCACGAGCGACGCGTGTTCCATCTGGAAAATAATGCTATTGGTAACAAAGCGTCACAAAATCCGCAGGAGAGGCCGTTGGCACACTGCTGATGTTCGGCGAGGGATGCGTTGCACTCCAATGGTACGTCCGAGCTCCAGAAGACTTGTACGTCCTGTAACGTGTCTTGCAGTCATGCTCTGCGGAGTACGCTGTCCGTGACAAGTCCGCCGCCTTGGTCTATTGCTCGAGCGAGCGACCTTCCACGCGGCACGGTGCCACATGCGTTCAAGCTTCGTCATGTACAACACAATTGGTTCCTGGGATCAGATGTCCTCTTTCAGAACTCGGAAGTTTTATACACTCGCAAAAGACTCGTCGTATTGGGGCTAATACGTCGCGCGCATCCTAGCCTGTGCAGCTGAGCTCGCATCGAGTCTCGACGAGCGCATATATTCGATCGTGCTGTATTCGCTATCGCGGTAGTGCGCCTCATAGGCTGCAAATACCCTTTTTGCTGTCATAAACTACATTCAGTCCCTCGGTGTTCCTTCCAATATGCCTTTGGCGGGACTTCGAATATTACGACGCGGAGAACCCTTATCAGCCGCCTACTTCAACGATCTCGCTTGTGAATGTTGCTCACTTGAACGGAGTTGATGCTCGTCGGCCGCACCCAGCTCGTTGTTGTGCTATAGGACCGTTCGCAAGGCGCATATGCTCACGGCCGTGGCACCGGTACGATCTCCTCCTGTCAGTCAATATATGCTGATTTCTCATCGTTGGTGTCTGATAGTTCACCTTCGAGTATAGACGCGAACGCAGGTGCATTGCTCTGTGGGCGGAAAAGGATTCCGGTGCACATGTATTTTGACTGCATCTAGTATACCCCCGCGGTCCAATGCTTGATCTATGTATTCTAGATTGAACTCTGCTGCAAGTGGATTCATTGACAACGCGCAACGGCGAATACATCGCCATCACGGCCACTTTCCTGCGACCATCCTCGGCGACATACTTCGAATGTCTGCGTAGATCCCGTTCGTCGCTGTGTCAACGCCAAGGTATGTTCTCCGTCGGCCACACCTTCGCTTCTGCTGCGTGGGCTCCTCCCTGCTTTCACCGATCACCATGGCCTCATCTCCTTGGTGGACGCTAACGGGCTTTCCCTACATATTCCTGCTGTTCGACGGCTACGGTGTTGTATCAGTGTTGTCGCCTCGATGCTGTCTTTCCACAGCGCGCTTGGGATTCATGAAGCTTCTGTTGATTGCAATACTCGTATTGTACGCTAGCTGATGTATACTGCCCACCCCGGCGCGGGAGCAACGTGTGCTCGTACGGGCATCGGAGATAATGCGGTGATATCATCGACCACTTCAAACGCAGAGCGCGCAGTGGACGTGTCTGACGTCCTTCTGATGCTGGTCTCATCACTTCGCGGATGCGCATGCAACGCGGAGGTCACAGGGGCACTGCTGGAGTGCAATCCACAGCGCCGGGTATACCTAACCTATGTCAGCTGTGCAGGGCAATATGTTACGTTTTATCCAGATGACCATGCAATTAACGCGAACCTTGTGATATGAGATACACGTGCCCTGATATGGCTTTGCTTTAGCATTCGCGCGAGGGCTGTATCCTGTCAATGCTATCGAGCATGCACTGCGCACACCCTCAGATACCCGCTTGACGCCGCGGCACACGGTTGACACTGTACATTTGCACATGTTCATTGTCAAACAAACTGATAATTCAACTAAAATACCAACTAATTGGGCTCCCGCATTTCCAGTATCTGTGGCAGCCGGCGGTTGTACACGCTTCTTTTATTCTCACAATCTGTATCTTTCAATCATAGCTCGCCATGACGGACCGCAAGGCTGTGACCTACGTCCTTCCATTCATGCTCACGCACCAGCCAGTAAAGCGCCATCTATCTCGACCTCTTCCTGCCCTTCTGCATCCTTTCCTCCGCTATATCCATCCTCCACAATCCGTCCTTCTCCGCAATGGAACCTGTCGCTCACATTGTACATGGTGAAGAGGCTCAGTCGGAGGTACGTACCTCCTTTCCTATAGAATGCACGACTGATGAAGTCCTGTCACTCAGAACGCAGCACACGATGAGGCTCACGACCAGGATCAGCGGGCGCTTCCTGCCTCAAAGCGAGTCAAGGACCAAACTGCGGTGCTGCATCAACCGCGTATGTCAGATGATGGCCTCCGCTTTGATCACACCATCAAATTCGCTGAAAGGTCAGACGAGGAGATGAGCGTTGCAGCAGCCCACTCGACGACCGTGCAAACAAGGGAGCTAGGACAAAACGTGTAGGTCATACCGACTCGTACCTACAGATTGTCGTACTGACGGCAACAAGCTCACCAACACTCCCGCGTTCGGAACGCGCTCCGCGTGACACGTCGAGCTCATCGATAGGCGACTTCATGTCGAACACGGAGGCCGCTCTGAGTGACGCGTCGAGCTTAGCATCAAGCCAGGCTCGTATTTTACCAGCACCCCGGCATCCGGACTTCACAGCGAGTGATGCGTGGGTCTCATCACCAAGCCCGGCTTCCGCGTGGCATCCCGAGGATTGGCAGGAGCTCGAATTCACATTCCCCTTCACGGGTCCGGCGCTTCCGGTAGAGATCTGGGACATGGTGCTTGACTGCCTTGTCGGTGCGGAGCATTGGGAGCTTCTCAGGCTCTCACTCGTTCGCAAGCACTGGTGTACCAGGTGCAGACCCTATCTGGTGCGGAACATCGTGTTCAACAACCGAGGCGATGTTCTTCGCGAGTGCCGGACAAGACGGCGTAACTGGAGAGGACCACGCTGCGTGACCATCAAAGGCGCAGAGAACACGAGGTCGCTCAGCCACCTCGGATTTATCGCGGCCCTGTTTGGTCCCAGGTGGACGAACGTGCGCGACGTGGTTATCGAGCATGGGGACTGGCGGACGGGCGACTTCCATCAGGACGTCTTCGACTACCTGCATATCTTGCTTGAAGAAATTGAAGTATTGAGAGTTCACGATGTCACGTTTCCATCGGGTGCTATTCTTCGCAGCCTCGTCTCCCACACGCGTTTCTTGAAACTGGGATATAACGAAACGAGCCGAACTCTCTCTCTGGCACAAGTAAGGTTTGAGAATGCATCGATGCCTCCCGCCTCCCTCTCATGGATGAACAACTCTGTTCGTCCCATGCCACGCTGCATGCTCCAGCTCGACCACTTGGATTCCACCTCTCTGGATGTGATCGCGCATTGGCTGCTTGTCGCTCCGGACAGGCATCACATGTTGCTTCCATACATATGGCTCTCATTGGGGAATCTCGACGACTCCCACCTTGGTACTGTTCCGCATATAATTCAATTCCTCAAACGGTTGGAGATCGCACTGATCGGGTCGAGCTGAATATCAATCAGAGCTTAGGTACGAACATCAATGCTATGTCGTCTTGCGTTTGTGCTGACGCCCTCCAGCACGACGTCTCTCCCTACCTCGTTGCCCGAATCTATTCACACACAATGAGGACCTAGAAGATATTGTTCTAAAGATACATGTCCAGGACTCCATTTCCCATGGATGGCTCCCAAGGGTGGTCTCAAGCTTGGTGACGTCAGAACGTTCCCTGACTAACTTGAACGACCTTTCGATTGACTTCGTCATCGATGTCCACCTCAGTCACGGAAACATTGTGCCCAAAGGCCTCGAATGCGAGGGCTGTGCCTTGCGTCCAGAGCTGCCCTTATCCCTTTCTGAACCAGGGGTGCTGGATGATATCATGGCCAAGCTGAAGACTGTCTGTGATGTGTTAGATTGTGACTTCGTGAACAATCCGAGGATAATTCCCCCGCCCTTCCGACTCTCGGTAAATATTCGGATATGCTGCTGTGCTCAATTAGACCCATGCATCTGGATGCCTAGACTGGAAGCATGGTTCCCGAAGTCAAGGACTTCTGGAGTGCTGAATGACTTTGGCTTGTGAGCATCACTTCTTTGATTCTGTTACATGCATTGATTGCCAGTGGATTGTTACAGCATCAATAGTACACGTATACTGAATATGGGCCTCTGGTGCATGCATTGCGGTAAATCTCTCCGGAACCGAGGCCATAAAGAGTCGACTTAGGGGGTCTGTGTAACCGTCCCGCTCAGCTTCCCCGCTCTTTCTAGGGGCAACACAGCGATCTCCACGAGCCTAGTATACCCAGCGGAGCATGCCTATAGCGTAAAGAGGCACGAGCGCGCTGTCGGCCGCACATCTGTGTTTTTGCTCAGCAGCTACGACATTCCGTCATAGCAACAATACTCCTCTCTTGTTCTTACTTCTTGCTATCGCCGCTGCCACTCGAACGACTCCACCTGAAAGCCACGGTGACCATTATTCCGCCGCCATCTCCGTCATTTCGCATCTATATGTATTCGTGCTATCTATCGGAGACACCGTAAGTTTCTGGCCCGTCTTCGGCATCCCCTCCCCAACCTGATACCGCCATCAGCATTACTCACGGTTGCCCCTATTCTCTTTGCATCGACCTTCTACCCGCGATGCGGTATATCCTTGTTGATTGATCGTCCGGGCCGTATCTGTACATGAAATCATCCTATTCTCCGGTCGGCCGGACACCTGTCTAGAGGTACAAGAGGACTATTGTTGGATTAGACGTTCTATATGATTCTATTAGCCTCATGTACGTCTGAACTCGCTTTATCGCTGCTCCAGCTCGCCCATTCTACGCCATGTTTGTGTTGGATATTTTGGACCTCTCTACGCTCGACAGTCTCGTATCCATGTATTTGTAGAATAGTTGCTTCCTCAGGATCACATGCAAAACAGCCGTGGGAAGATATGAGCACCTCCTGGTACTGCACAAGACATAGTCGTGTCCGTCGAGAGGGAATTGAGGATGTGGTGCTTCGCCTTTCTTGGGAAGATAGATAGATAGGACTCCCAGTAGACATCCAGCAGATACGCGGTGTTCACGCAGATTGTGGTCTCATCCAGTCGTGGACTCGTAATCTGAGGTCAATTGCCATCATGATAGTGGAACCACCCACGGAATTGAATTGAGAACAGCGAAATGCGAGCACTTTATTGTCTCCATTAGAACACAAGATTGGTCAGGAGGCGGTCCATAGAAGCAATACAGCCCAGTAGACTGAGGCCATAGAGATGCGGGCGCATGCGCACGAGGAGCAGCTGCTTCGTCGTACGCGCACATATACGCGTTGGGGACATTGAGAATATCCACCGCGATATGTGAAGAGAAAACATGTCGGAGAACTCACGATAATTAGTCCTACGGAAAAGCGTGCCAGCATCTGTCATTCGCTTGCGGAATCGACAAGTGATTGTGAAAGTCATGTACGCGGGGCGACAGCTATTTGAAGACAAAGAAACGCGAGGGCATCGGCTCAGACCACGGCACAATTAGAGGAGGTATGTTGTCGTCGTGGACGACATTGGATGCGATGGCACGCGATGATACGCAACTGGATTGCGTATTGGAGAGAGCAGGAACACAACACGCTGAGCTGTCGATCCGCTCCAAAATGCACAAATACAATTCCGCCAATACAATGAGACCAGCGAATACATGCGATGTACGAGTGAATGGATTGATGAACGCACAAGGCCACGAAGTAAGCGTGAAAGGAGCAGGAGCAAGGATAGCAGACGAGCGCTTGAGAGCGCTTGCCGCTCGATCGGCTGACGTCATCGCAGCTGTACTCAAATCGCCCCTCCAGCTCTCTCCTGTGTCTCGCTGTGAAGTGCCTCACGCCGGTCTGCTCTTCTGTACTTACACATTCAACATCAGGCCCAAGAACATTGCTTCATTTCGCTCAATCTGTGCGTGGCTCTCACAGCGTCGCCTACTACCACGGCGGTCTGCATGATATTGCTCCGGACGACCTTGTGAGCATTCCAGTCTCGTCAAGACAAGCCCCGACTTCGATAGAAAGAGACGTCCTGTTGGGACTGCACGTGTGAGTCATGACTTACAGGAAGGAATGACACATAGGTACGTCGAAAATCGTAGATGGGCATCATCCACTATCGCACTACCACCTTCATCTTACAGCTGCGGAGCGCGCACTCATGTATCGCGTGCAATAAAAAACTTCCCTCCCCTCCCTATTCTCGTGCTCCCTCTTGCGGTTAGTGTAAGGGCGTCGGCATATGAGCCTCCCGCACCTTCAACACCCCCGGATCGCGTCTATTTGTCGGAGATGACTTGCTTTTACAATCGCCCAGCGGTGTCCAGCGATCCTGGTACTACTCGCGCCTCTCACTGTCTGTACTCGGAAAGCCAAGATGTTCGATCGCGGAAGATGCGCGCATTCAGTCGGCGGCGAGTCTTTCGTGGAAAAAGCATCTCAAGATGTCGCCAAGCTTGGGTTGCGTTGCCCTCTCACTGTTTGCATCTAGCGAAGAGGCGTCTGCTTCCGCAAATTGCATTCTCCTGACGCCATGAGCGCCGTCGTCTTCGCGCGATCCATATTCTGCAGAGATATACCCGCCGCGGCAACCTTGGCGCGTTCATCTGTCGAAAAGTGAGACAGGGACACTTACTGTCCTTTCACATTCCGTACTGTCGATGGCAAAGATCAATCGAACTCATGAGTCTTTTCACTTGAATATCACAGATATGCCACTCCCGCTGACGCTCATTTGTACCGCCCTCGCTGCTCATAACGTTAATCCTGGCCGTCAAAGTCAAGCCGCTCTTCCCCTTGGGGCTCATCACTCTGCCTTCGTGTCTCTTATGTTTGTCAATATCGGCCACTGGCTAGTCTCCCGGCCTCCGTGCTTGGCCCAATTTACATGCCGACCTATGGTATAGGCTATTCTTCCCTCCCCTTGCTTCACCACCTTAGCGGTCCGCGTCGAGTCTCATGTACCGTTAGGGCGATAGTTCGTCAAGCATTCGCGCTATAGCCCATACTGCAGATCTGCGGACAATGCTCCCGTCCCCGAAGGCGCGAGAGGGCAAATTATTCTGTATACTCTGCGCTTGGCGTGGTCGTCATTGGTTACGAGATACCATACTGCTTTGGACTCTCAGTACCGTTCATGACACCCTTCGTGTACAATCCACACAGCTCTTTCTTGTGCGATATGGCCGTCGACCAACACAATGCATGCAGAAGTTCAGCTTCGAAGAGCTGCCTCGTGAGCGGTTGCCTCCGCTGCAGAACTTAACGCTACCGGATTTCGGAATGTATGCATCAAATTGCATACATGGACACATTCTTGCTAGGGCTTGTGGGCGACCACGGAAGTAGGCAGACGAACGCAATCGACACCAGACGTTGATGCACATGATTGGTATGCACGAAATCGAGCACGGACAAGCGTTTTATTCGCTGACGTCATCGGGCGCTAAGTCACCGCGACATTCAAGTTGAGGCGGACGGCCCTGTTGAGCAGTGACTCTAAGCGTTCAGCCGGACGGGTGATCATATTTCCCTTGGGTCTATCTCCAATTACTCTAAAAGCTATACCTGACTCCCAGTAACATTTGTATGCATGGCACCAACCGGTCTTCTTGCTGCCCCACGCATTCAAGGTCGCTTTTTCCTGCGCGGACGATCCCGATATGCGAATTCCTCCAGTCGACTATCAGGGCACTCTATTTTCTCCAAGCGTCGATTTTTCCGTCAACCACACAAGCTCTATGTGGCGGCGCATCGGTGCACGCTAGAGCGCTGATACCTCCTACGCTCCCTCAGACGAGGTCCCTACCGGGCGATTCCTACCTCGCGGTGTGTCGCTCCATGGCTGTATGCCGTTCTCATCATTTCCGCAGTGCTATCTCGCGCAAACTGCTCCTTGGTTGTATTCCCTGGATTTCACGAGATCGCGTCCAGTCGTCTTAGATTCATCCCTATTGTGACCCCCAACGTTATAATGCCATAGTGCGACCTTCAGCAACGCCGTATGCGCTGGAATTCCGCTGCGCAGCCCCGCGACGGACTATCGCAACGTGCGAGCGGCGGTGGGATTGTACGGACAGTATGCTGTGTTCGTGCCCCGCGGCGAAAGACGTCTGCCGCGGATCCGCTGCCTCGCTCGTGTCACCTTGGAACCAGGGACAGCCCACGAGGCCCAGCGTCGAGTGGCATGCCCATCCGTGCACAATGCGAATATCATCTGGAGCAGTTGGAGCAGTCCTCTAGGAACACCAGCCGGGCTTTCATCTACATCTTGGGCACGGGGCACCTTTCGATGTCTTTGACAATACGAGGGACATTTCAGTGTGCTGGTCCTGTATCAGACGCCTGGTCTATCGTTTTGCGCTGTGATCTCCGCGGCGAACCACTGTGACTTGACGTCGATTCATTCCTCTCTCAGCCTGCTCTTGCCTCTCTGCGGTGCGGAAGCCCCATGCGCGTTGCAAGAGACGTCAAGCTCTTCGCTTGCCATGCTGTCTCTATTCGGTCCCCCATGCGGCAGTTCAGCGTGTCCGGGCTTCATCGCACTTCACTGCCTTCCGTACTCTCACGTCCGCTGCCTGATGTCCACTGCTCGTGTAGGAGTGCGCATTGCTCATACTGGGAGACCGGGGATGATGCGGTGATAACATCGCCCTCTTGGCACTGGGAGCGTGCACCAAAGTCCCTGAGCTTTCCCGCATCCTGACAGTGCTGTGGCTTTGCGGGAATGCGCGGCGCACATGGAATCCATGCAGGACACTCCTAATTAACCTTTCATAGCGCCTGGTTTACCTTACATATGTCAGTCGTACAGACCGTCAAGGCAATACGTTACGTATCATCCCAGTCCACGACGGCATGTGACGGTGCGACTTACGATAAAGTATACTGTCCTTCATTTAAGCTCTAGGCGCCGTGACACGTGCGGCGGTGAGCGGCTGTACTGCTGTGGTCCTATACTCCGCTTTGATGAGCCCCTGCAACAGAGGCTTCAAGTCGGTAATGACCATTCCGCGGTCGAGAACGCAGGTGCAGCGCTTGGAGCGCTCCTCCCTGCGCGACAAGATCACCAGCCCTCCACGGTCTGTGCATTACCAGCAAATCGCTTAGCAACATCAGGAGGCTGGAGCCAGACGGCTACTACCTCTCCTTACGATCGCGCAAGAAATGCTGTCTCGGATATGCACGACATCAGCGGGGACGCGCTCCTATGCCGAGACGAATCTACCACCAACATAGCCATCGTCAACGACTCCCGTGTCGGTAAGTGCCCACCGTTTTTTCCACGAGACACTGCTGAAAATGACGTGCATTATATAAATCTAATTATGCGGCTCACAGCAGCGAACATGGAAGAAGGTGTCCAGCAAATCAATATCCAATCAAGCGATGCAGCAATTAACGGGGATACCATGTACACTCTGGCATACTGTATCCGCCACGTCCTGTGCTTACAATAACCAGGGCGGCTCTGCCTTTCCCGCAGGGAATTGATATTCCCTCTTTTCCATCGGCAATAGGGTACTTCCCGATTTATATACCGTTGCCGCAACCATCACAACCATCGCAACCATCGCAACCATCGCAACCATCGGGAATGCCAGATATTCCCTTCGGGCTGACGGAAGATATAACACGTGGTGCCCAGGATACAACGTACAGTGAGGCCCCCCCACAAGATTGGTCGACGACTCCTGCTTCTAAAAATTATCCGGAGGATGACACCCATTCCGCCGACGCGATGACAGTTTCCCAGATGCAAGCTTCAGGAGTGAGTATCACCGAAACACATGCTATGACGGAGCCAACGAGGGAGAGCGATCATGACATGTAAGTCAAACCATGCAACATCTACAACCTGCGGCGCTGATAGAAATAAGGCTACCAATACTCTTGCATTCTGAACTCACTGCGGATGGTGCGTCGGGCTCAGCATCGAGCCCGGCTTCCGCGTGGGATTCCGAAGATTGGGAGGAGCTCGAATTCACATTTCCCTTCGCGGGACCGGCGCTTCCTATGGAGGTTTGGGACATGATGCTTGACTGCTTTGTCAGTGCACAACCTGGGGAGCTTCTTGAGCTCTCACTTGTTTGCCAGCACTGGTGGTCCAGGTGCAGACCCTATCTGGTGCGGAACATCGTGTTCAACAGCCGAGTTGACGTTCTTCGCGAGCATCGGACAAGACGTCGTGACTGGTCAGGGCCGCGCTGTGTGACCATCAGAGGCGCAGAGAACACGAGGTCGCTCAGCCACTTGGGCTTCGTGGGAGCTCTGTTTGGTCCCAGGTGGCCGAACGTGCGCCATGTGGTTGTCGAGCATGGAGACTGGTGGGCGGGCGACTTCCATCAGGACATCTTTCTCCATCTGCACATCTTGATGGAAAACATTGGGCATTTAGGTTTGCGTGATGTCACGATTCCATCGGGTGCTATCCTTCGTGGCCTCGTCTCTCAAGTGCATATGCGTTTCCTGGAAGATGACGAGGAATATGAAAGCCCCTCGGATCTGACGCTCGCTCTCGCACAAGTCAGGCTCCTTCCCGCCGTCTTCGGGAGGTGAGGGGGACTTCATTCGAGGGCGGAATTCATGCTAAGTCCCAATAGCTTAGGGAAGATCATATCATAGATCCCATCACACATATCACGTGCACTCTTCAAACTTTCAAACTCCACAATCTTAATCCCCCTCACCTCCCTGTGATGGCTGGCACAAAACATTGGTAAACAGCGGTGCTCGGAGCCGGACCTACTCCATATAGTATTAGATCACGGCCAAAAAGTAAAAGCATAGAACTAAATGATATGATATATGTTTCCGTCAAAATGGACATGCGGTTGCGTTGCCTAGAGTACAGAGTGGTAGCATGGGTGCGCGCGAACACTAGTGCTGCCTGCGATGTCTCTAAACAAGCCCTCCTTGCCGACTATTGATGCTATCCGGAAGAAGACGTTTGCGAAGCTGGGCCGCGACCCTTGCGAATGGCAGGCGAAGGTGGCGCGCGAGATCCTAAGGACAGAAAAGGATGTTATATGTGTTGCACCAACGGGTGCGGGAAAAACACTCACGTTCTGGATGCCGTTATTGTTCCGAGAGGATGGAATACAGATCGTAGTGACGCCACTTAATATCCTCGGAACGCAGAGTGTAGCCGAGCTGGAGTTGGTAGGTATCAAGGCTGTATCTGTGTGCGCAGAGACAGCAACACCTCAATTGTTCAAGGTATGTTGTTAAACCAATAGTATATGGCTGACGTACCTCAACGGTGTGCCAGGATATCGAAGAGTCGGGAAGTATTGCGCTATAGTTATCAATCCCGAATTGTTGATGAAGGAGGGCGGGGGCTTTGAACGTCTATGGAAGAACCAAGACTTTGCGTCTCGGATCATCAGTATTATCTGGGATGAAGCGCACTGTGTCAGTCTCTGGAGTGCGTTTCGTACGGAGTACAGGGATGCCTACCGCCTGCGTTATCTTTTGCCTCATGTGCGCTTTGTCACGACTTGGTACGGCGTCTAGCCGTTTTTCAATTTTTTCCTTTTCGCGGGCTCGAACCCGCGACCTCTGTACTACCTGCCTGATATGGACACGCCGTTATCTACTGTACGATTAGATTAGATGGGGCGGCAGCGCACGGCACAGCTCGGGCTCCGCTGACACAGCCGCTCTGACTCACCGGCCCCCGGGGCCGCGTCAGCATGCTGCGCACGGACCAGCTGCGCACGAACCAACGCGCACAGCCTGCCCTAATCTCCCCATGTATATAAACCGGCCTCTGCTGCCCTAGGGACCTCAGTTTCGACCTCTTGTCCCTAGGTCAGTAAGCTCATGTATTACTTACTTACTTACTTACCAATGCTAACTTAACTTGTCCCTAGCCTTAGGTTTGAGCGTTGCTCGCCATTGCTTCGGTAAGAATCAGTCGGACACCCCCAGCCTTCAGGTATTCCCCAGTCGCTTGACCTCAAGTCGCGACACTAGGTTGAAACTCCCCAAGCTGCCGGCGTCCTCTCGGGACTCCCACATTCACTTTCTTTTCCCACAGGTCGGGTGGTGCGCACCCCTACGATACCCTACGGTACATACAATACGTAGGTAGCCTTACATACATCGCCACCCCTAGAGGAACGAACTCTTCAACACCTGCACTTCAGTGGGCGGTGTTTGTCCTCACGGACGCGTGGACTAGGTTCCTACTGCATACTAGCCAAAAGCAGTACTGGGCCCCACGTGAACTGCGAACCTCAGGGTCTTCTCGGGCGCCGTAGCGTAAACTAGTGTAATACGGCCATTTTTAGTACGCGCGCCTCCCCTTCCTCCCCCCATCCAACGTGGCTGCCTGCCAAGGCCAAGTTCACGCATTCGACTCTCAGGACCTTATCGACGTCTACA